ACGTTATTAAAAAAAACACAGGGTCGATGACTAATTGTAAAGGATTTCCACCAAAAAGGCAGAGGTAGCTGCAGCTCGGGACCCCCAGAGGAAGGCTCCGGGGCGCTGAGGACCCTGCTTCCCCCGGAGTCGGTGCCCGGGGGCCGGCGCGGGCCCCCGGCGCTGCCCTGCCCCTTCCCTCCCGCAGGTACATGGGCGCCGTGGGCTCGTCGCGGGTGATGTGCGACAACGTGCCGGGCCTGGTGAGCCGGCAGCGGCAGCTGTGCCGGCGGCACCCCGAGGCGATGCTGTCCATCGGCCGCGGCGTGGCCGCCTGGACGGCCGAGTGCCAGCACCAGTTCCGCCGGCACCGCTGGGACTGCAACGCCCTGGAGCGGGGGCAGCGGCTGCTCGGCCGCGTTCTGCTGCGCAGTGAGTGCCGGGGCCAGGGAGGGGCTTCCCGCGGGCTTGGGTGGGGGGTGCAGCCCCCGCGCCCACGGCCCCAGGGTAAAAGGGGGTGTGGGGAGTCGGGGTGCGGGCGCAAGTGTTCCTCGTAAGGGTAACGGGCTGGCACCCCCTGGGCAGTGTGCGGGAAACATGAGAAGCTGTGGCCATCATCCTCTGTCCTTCATCCTTACAAGGGTGAAACTTGGGTTTACATTTCAGGAGGAAAGGAAGGAGGACATGCAAAGTTATTTTAGGGTCTCACGGATAGCAGAACAGCATATATGATAACGTGAGGGTCTGTGTTGCTTAAAAACCTGTCTCAAATCAGGGAGACAATCTGGAGTTTTGGCGTATTAGGGGCTGGCTGCAGCTCACGACTATTTTTTTTGGTGTATAATGGATATCAAACCCACATTTTAAGGCCTACAGGGAAATTGAAGCATCAGAATGTGGCAGCAGGACAGAAGACTTTCACAGCCCAGCCTCAGGATACTAGTACTTCGGATGAGGCCTGTTGAAAGGGGCAGCTCAAGTGCAAAGAGAAGGGCAGTGCGTTGGGATGGCAGGAGCCAATCAATCCCTCCTGCGGGCCGATTCCCACGGTGGCGTTCTCCGGGAAAGCGCAGCAGCAGGGCGCAGCAGGGCGCAGCAGGGCGCAGCAGGGCGCAGCAGGGCGCAGCGCCTCCCGGGCTGTGCTGGCTGCAGCGGTCTGCGCCCATGCGGGGCAGCGCTGCCCTCCAGGCACCGCGGCATTTCGGGTCAGGCTCGGGGCAGAGAGGCACGGCACACACATTTGATAGAGATGAGCCAGGCTTGCGTGGAGCCCAAGCAACTGAGGGAGCAACACTGTGCTTCCCGCCCTGAGGGAGGATGGTTAAGCAGGGTGGTGTTGTCATCTAAAGGTCGGAGGAAGGCATCTAGTGAGTCTTCAGATCTCAACCGTGGCCCTTTTGACTCAAAGAAATGGCTGGGATTGGTTACTATGTCAGAGTGTCCTTACCCAAGGGATAAATCTGCTGAGATTCTTAGTAACTGCAGCTCTTTTCACCAAGCGCCACACGCTGTGCGCACGGCTGACCCTGCCCTGGCACTCGTGTCCCTGGAATGTCCCCAGGATCATCCTAAGCTATGAGCAGCATGGCACCTGCAAGGAGGGGAGTAGGAAAGTACCATTGTCCCACTGGCGAGGATGGAGAGGAGGATGGCAGGCACTGGGCATGCTGACCCAAGCACAGGGATTTTCATTCCGTGCTAGGTTCTGCTGCTGGTAAGCCGTTGGTTCCTGTAACCAGCTTCATGTTCCCTTGGCAATTATTTGTGAGTAACCAGTAACGTCACCCAGAGGCTGAAGTTTTCAGTGAGGTTTGTCTGATGTTTAGGAAAACATGTCTGGCAGAACATAGCCTAATAATGATGAGGCTATTTAATAAAAAAGTAAAAATGCAGTTTTTCCAAAAGTGAAGTTTTCACTGTTGGCTCATGTGACAGAATGACAGCATCAGGCTTCTGAGCTCTGCACTGAGCCTGATCAGACTGTGATTGCCATGGAAATATAGCTTGATAGTGCTCTAATAAAACTGACTAGTTCAATAAGCTCAAATAAACATTGTCTCTTCCAACAATATCAAGTGTTTATTTTTAATTAACACTTCGCAAATTTTCAAAATTTCTGAATACGTTTTCTCAGAAATAAGTCTTCAAAAGAGTGTGATTTCTAACAAGCTGTGGTAACCTTTGCCCGTTTTTGAAGAGAGAAGAGGGAAGGCATGGTTTACCCAGTTGCCATTTGCAAAAGACTTGCACAGAATGTGGAAGTTCAGGGCCCATTCATAAGTTAAACATATTGTTGCTACTGCAATTGAAATACTAAATATAAAGTTCTATAGTGCAATTCTGCCTCTACAAAAAAAAAAAAAAAAATCACTGTTAGCATTTGTCTTTGGGGTCCTCTATTACTGTGCTAATTACTTAAGGCTTACAAGCCCTGCAAAGAGGTCTCTCTCACTGCAAGTTGTCTTAGATATTGCAAAAAAATCTACTTGTTCTTCTTCCTATGCTAAAAAATTTAAAAGTAGAAAAATATTCCATTACCATAAGTAGATTTGTGTCAGTGTAATGTAGCTCTCTATTGTAAACTACTGCATCTTAAAATAAAAGCAATTATTACATTGAAATATGTACCTAATTGCCTATGAGTAGGCATAGTCTAGAAATTCAGATAATCTTTGGTATAATAAAATATCTTGGTTAGGAGATGGGAAAACTGCCAGAGCAGCTGGCATGAAGAAGTCACAGCTGCCAGGCCAAATCCTGCCTCAAGCATGACACAAGTGGTGCCATTAATTTAATGGAATTTATTTGTGTGAATTATGGTTACGGGCTTGATTCTAGGCTGAAAACCTAATATTAACTTATTTTTCAGAAAATAACACCCAAGTTTTCTCCCTAGCATGTTTTAAGCAGGAAAGTCTATTCCAAGAGCTTCAGGATAGGAAAAATCTAGTTTCAAGAGTTACTTGCAGTATTTTGCAATGTATGTGTTGATTTAGTGTCCCTGTTTAATAATTTCTTAAACTTATCTCTCACATAGCACTTCATATATTCTTCTAAATTCGTGAAACGTGATAGGAATACCAGCTGTCCTATTCACATATCTGTACAAAACAACTGATCCATGAAAGTATATGAATCAATATCAGAAGCAAATGTTTAATGTTTTCCAGCTCTAACACTATATTGATGAGCTTTTACCAGGGAGGGGTCCAAGTTTAAGCCATGACTAATTCTGGCTCCAGGGAATGTGTATTGGTATGATTTCAGCCTAGTTATCTTTTGCTCTGCAAAAAAGTCCAGCCTAAGTGTCTTGGATATAGGACAGCCACACAAAGTAGCCACCACGATGATATTTAAAGCAACCTTTTTTTGTTTCAGGTAGTCGAGAATCTGCTTTTGTACATGCCATCTCCTCTGCTGGAGTTGTTTTTGCCATCACCAGGGCATGTAGCCAAGGGGAGCTGAAATCCTGCTCCTGTGATCCCAAGAAGAAAGGCTCTGCCAAGGACAGCAAGGGCCATTTTGACTGGGGTGGCTGCAGTGATAACATTGACTATGGAATTAAATTTGCCAGAGCCTTTGTGGATGCCAAAGAACAGAAAGGAAAAGACGCCAGGGCACTGATGAACCTTCACAACAACAGAGCTGGAAGGAAGGTGGGTGTCCATCCAATAGATGCCTAGAGATGTTCTTGGACAACTCTGTTGTGTCTGGAGCACTTAATGCTTGACCTTGCTGTCTGGTCTCAGCAATTATGAAGAATTATGGGAAGAGCAGGAGCCTGAGCTACTGTTTCTATCAGTGTGACAGAGATCTACAAACAGACCGAATTCAACTGCCTAGCAGTATTCCTGTTGGAGTCACTTCAGTCACTCTTTGTGATGGAAGTTAAGCAGGAGCCTAAGACGCAGGATCAGTTTGGATGGAGGTTTTGTTTTGAGCTTTATATAAGCAGGAGTTTTATTTTTGGTTAATACAGAATACAAATTCCTAAGGGAGGTTAAGATCACATTGAAGAACAGGTTTGACAAAGAGCAAATCCAAAATAACATTCGAGAAAAAAAAAAACATTCTGTCAATTTCTGTATGTATATAGTAAACTTAATCACAAAGTGAGCAGAGATAAAAGGTAACTACTTCACTTTTTAAATATACTTCACTTTTTAAAATACATATCCCTCCAAAAGGCAATGGCCTTAGAGCATGACCTGCAATCCCTTTACTAAACATTGTATGAAAATACCATTCCTGAATTTCAACTAAAAAATCTTTACATCGTAGGTGAGTAGAAGGAGTAGGTGCCAGGTGTGATGCCCACCTCTGGTACAAGGGCTGAGGAATATCTGCACTAACATTTTGTAGTGATAGCTATGAAAAGTAAGAATGGTGCATGAAATTGGAATATGCTGTTTCATTTTTTAAAACATGGTAAGACTTTGCTGCTCCCATGACATCTGAAATACAGAAAAAAACATTTTATTGTACTAGACCAAGCACTTCTGGAATTATTTGTAGAGACTTTTTGTGTCTTATCTTTGGTTTTCCTTAATGTATATTTAGTAGGAATTAAGTTGTTTGTATTCTGATCTTTTTTTGTACTGCAAGTTGATGATTTTCCCAAAAAATTTTGTTCTTCAGCACCTTTCCTCCACCTGCTTATTACCAGCATGTGTAATTAATATGTAATGTAGGCAGATGAGGCTTTTTAGATCAGTGATAGGCACATGCAGTACTGTGGTCATGTTTCTGTTACTGTCCAAAAGAGGCTGAAGTCTACAACACAATGATTTTTTTAGGAGCAAGTAAGTTCCATGATGGGAAGTACTTTCTGTAATATTTGAGCATCTTATTATTTTTAAATTTAAAAAAACACCTCTGCCAAATATTAAGGTAGTACTGGTAAGGTAGATTTTTAGAAAAAGATAAATAAATTTTAATTAATATGTTCAATTAAAAATAATGAACATGTTATCATGTGCTCTAGGACCTGTTTTATGGATAAAGACACTGTTTTGTATTCAAAGTGCAGTAGTGTAGGCTTAGCTTTGCAGGGATCTCACCACCTCAGCTGCTCACAAGCCTGGCATTTTGACCTGGGTATGACCATCTGTGGCCTTTATTTTTTCTTGCCCCCAAAAAGGGGTGTTGATACATCTCTTTTAAAACTAGACTATTCCAACTGTACTAATTAAAAAATAAATGAAACAAATATTTTTCATATTCCCATATGAATCATAGAACATAATATGCTGTATTAGAGTATAGGACAAAAAAAAAATACCATATTCCTATGTGCTTCTTCCACTATTCCAGCAAGTTGTTTCAAACATACAAGTAGTTAAATTGATTTCTGCTCAGATAATTAAAACCAAACATCTGCTTAAATCCCAGATTTGTGATATGGCAATGAAAAGGGGCTGTGGGAATGCCAGTGACTTCTTTGAAGTAGTCATATCATTTACAAGTTGGAAAGAAAATTGAAAGTCCTTTGGTTTTGTAATACATTCTCACTTTATTACTAAGTGCTTGACTGAAAAAGGCTGCCCCACTGTGCATCAATCTCACTTGTAATCATGGAGCTTTCCTCTCTCTTACTTTCCTCCCATGATGACATTCCTCTTGTACAAACTCTAAAAAGTTTGTATTTCATGAACTCTTAAGGCACAATATTTATAGATCAAATATCCATATCTACATAATTAGGAATGAATTATTTACTGTCTATGAACCCATCTGTTGTTCTCCAACATCATACAGATAGCTTAAATGTCTGAGATGAAGCTGAAATGGCTTTAATACTATCCAGATGTTAAATTAATGATAAGGGTGATCTCTCCAATGAAAACTAATGAAGGTCTTATTCTAAAATGTTTGCTAAAATCTGCATCTGTTTGTTAAAATAAGTATTTTATCTATACTGTATTTTAAAATTCTGCATCAATCTGATACCTAGCACAGTACAATGCTTTACACAGCCTTTAAAAAATAATTTAAATATGAAATGCCCATGAATTTCTGGGCAATATTTGAATGCTGTTCAGAGTAAAGGGCAACTTCATGAAGATCAGCTGGAGAGGGTCAGAGGGTCAGCACAGCCATCCTGCAGCTGGAACAATGGGAGAGAGGGCACCTTCGCCCCCCCAAGGGACTGAATGATTCTGGCCATTTCTGATCATTTCCTCCTGTCCAGTCTGTGTCCTAGCACTGTGGACCACATGGGGCCGTGGGATGACTGGCAGGAGCAGGCAGGTAAACCCACCAGCAAGAGGATTGTGTGCACGGTGAGTCAAGCAACCAGAGCAGAGCAACCACATGGGGATGACTTGATGCTACCAGTGGGTGTCACTACAGACCGTAATTTGGAGACCCATCGCAGGCCTGGCATTACAGGATGGATGGAAAGGGGCTGAGAAGCAATTAACTGCACTTTGTTTTACCTGTGTGTATTTATATTTACCTGTGCATTTCTAAACAGGCCGTGAAGCGGTTTTTGAAACAGGAGTGCAAATGTCACGGTGTGAGTGGATCCTGCACTCTAAGGACCTGCTGGCTGGCCATGGCAGACTTTAGGAAAACAGGAGATTATCTGTGGAAGAAATACAATGGAGCAATTCAGGTGGTCATGAATCAAGATGGAACAGGTTTCACTGTGGCTAATAAGAAATTTAAGAAGCCAACTAAGAATGACCTGGTATACTTTGAGAGCTCTCCAGACTACTGCATCAGGGACAGGGATGTAGGTAAGCCTCTACCATTACATGTGAATGCTTTTATTTAAGACATTTGTACTTCAGGGGTCAAAAATTATAATTTGATTGAGAGAAAGAGTGTGTATGTGTATATATATAAAAAAACACAAATCCATGCATGTAACCAGCAGGAAACAGGAAAGAAGATGTTTTGGAAGGACTCAGTACAAGAACAATAGTTCCTTAATGTCTCTAGGTGTACAACAGCCAATTGTTCTAATATAATTCAGTGGTTTCTGCCAGATGCTATGGAGCCCTGGAGATGCTGTAAGGCAAAGCTGCTTTCAGCACAAGTTTGAGCTGTGCTCTGGAGGCAGGTCCATAGTGGGCACAGCCACACTCACTCTTGTGCCATGCAGCTCACTGCAGAGCTGCCCCAAGTCCTGTTGATGCCACCTCCTGTTGTGTTGCTTCCTTTCCAGGTTGTTATGCTACCACTGTGGTGCCCTCCTTTATCTGCACATTCCCACAGCTCACTGTGACTGCGGACCCCAGTTGCAGACGTGCCTGTCCCCATCTAATGTGGAAGGTACAGCCTGTGACAATCCAGCCCTGCTTGCCCAGTCAAGGCAGCTGTGGGTAATGGGGGGTGAGGCAGCAGCTAGAGGATGTGGAGGACGCAGGTGGATGAAGGAGTAGAGGTGGGTGGGACACAGCACACTTGGCTGAGTGGCACAGCTCTTTATTCCTCTTTATGAGGCAGTGTTGGCTCTGTCCATGACAACCATCACATTTTCTGAAGAGCTGTGCCAGCCCCTGTGGGAAGAAATAAAGTATTGGTGCTGCTGTTAACACTGGATTTTCCTGCTTCAGATATTTGATAGGGACACACTTAGCAATGCTACAGAATTCAAGGCACTGCCAAGCACCAGGAAACCTGCTAGCGGCTCTTGACCTATGTATAGTATTTCCTGATGTGGCAATTAAAAACTAGTAACTAGAAAACCAGAAATTTGGAAAAGAGAGGCAGACTGAGTAATGTATTAGTTGTGGAACTAATTAATAGGTTGTATAGCAGACCAGATTGCACCCCATATGAAAAATCCTTAAGTATCTGGATAGCAATGCAGCTCAAGTCTTTTTGGCACTGCTGCATGTTTACAATCCAAGTTTGCTTGGAATAAACATTGCAGAACAGCTGTACTTAAATAAGAACAATATGTGAATTCCTGGTCATGTACTATTGACTTCAGTGAATGCAGAATTTCATCCAGTACAATTACATTGTACAGTGTTTCTGGTTAGTTGAGTCGTCAACATATTTTAAATGTTATTTATTATTTTGGCAGGTGATGTTTATTACCTGCACGAGCACATATACCATTCCTTGAATAGTGACTGACACTGTAAAGTCTAATCCAAGTGAATAAATGGACGTATTATGGCATCATGCAGAGATTAATTTTGTAGACTAGGATTTTTTCAAAACATTTATCTCTTGATATTGCCTCATTCATTGTAAAAAACATGATTTCTTTTTGCCTGGAAGAAAAAATTGTACTCTACCCATTTCTATGTCAAAAAGCCATTTAATAATCTCTTTGTACTAAACCTAATCTTATCTGTCAATCTTGTTATTTTGGAGGAGAATGGGCATTTTTCACCACAGTGTATTAAGTGCATTTGCCAGACACTGACAAACCTGCCCAGAGATGGCAAAGTCTGATATGCTTTTTTGGCTCAGCTCACTATAACACTGTAGCTGAGGTGGTGTTTCTTTGCTGCTCAGAACTCAGAGAATGTGGCTGTTTAGAAGAGCATATTTTTAGAAAACTGCAGTAAACCTTTGTTGGGATGTGGGATGCCCTGCTGCTTGCATGGAGCAAAGAAAGAACCACACAAACAAAACCTGACCTGACTTTGAGGGAGAGGATTTTGGCTGCTGCACCACATTTTTTTCATTTTTTGGTTTGCCCTGTTGAGCATTGCAGAGTGCCAGCCCTGTTAAATGATTGCAAATGGAATGAGATTATGGAAGTCAGAGTTTGGAAGTAGATGGGGAGCATCTCAGTGTGGTATTGGATTCAGTGTCAGCTAAATCTAATACCACAATGTTTTAGTATGTCATTGAGTACAGTTCTGCCTTTCATTCTCCAGGGAATTCAAGCAATTTGGTGCTTCAGGGGAAAAAAATTATCTGGAACCTAGTTAGTGCTGGAGCTGAATGAAGGATTCACAGAGAAAACCTTATGACACCTCATGACTTGACCAGAGACAACTTCACAAACTAAACTGTCCAAGCCAGTGTGCTCTGTGGCTTGATTGTGCTAACACATAGGAACCAGTGAGTTTAAAGTGCTCAAGGATTCTGCCATTAGCAGCCTACCCAGGAAAAAAGCAGATACCTTCTATTCCCCCACTGGAGCTTTAACCCTGGGTAAAAGCTGTCTGAGGGGACAGCTGGACATGCATCCATGGAACACCCCAAAATGTAGTTTGTTTGGGTTTGTTTGTTTGTTTTGGTTTTTTTCCTCTAGAAAGGAAAAGTGGAGTAATTGATTTTAGGAGAGGTACAATATGGGAAATCACTAATAGTAACTCAATAGCAAGATAATGTAATAACCTGACCACCTCTTTCCTTGCCTTAAGACCTCACAAAGGACCAAAGGAAGATTTTTCAGAAGTGTTCAGAAATCATTTAACCCAGCACACATAACTCTGCTGAAATAATTTTTGCTCACAATTTCATACTCAAAATTTGATAGAAACAGAGATAGAACATCCCAGACAGCTTTTAAAAGTCATCCTAGGTAAACTGTTGGTTTTATCAACACATAGCCATCTCTTCAGTGCTGGCCTGGGAAATCCCAGCCCCTCCAGACAAATCTACCTCCAATGTGTATTGCCTGTTTTCTCCAGCCCTTCTGTACCAGGTGTAAGATCCAGTAGCTCCAGAGCTACTTTTCTGTGAACATTTTTCCTTCAATTGTTTTTTCCCCAAGAATACTTGTGAAGAAACTATCATTGGGGATTTCACTGGTTTTGCATTTTTCTTTTTGCTTTTGTTTGAGTGTGTGTGTAAGTCTAATAATGGATGTTATTGCTTGACACCAGATTTTAATCAATAGAAGTAGAAGGAAAAAGCTCTCATTATATACTAATAAATACATTTTAGGGCTTTAAGAATGGAAAGAAAATATTTTCCAACATAACACATGTTGATTTCCAAAAATAACTGTGCAAACTGAGAAGAAAGGACTTGATGTACAGGCTGTGAAGTTGGCAGTATGAAAAGCTGTTGATGTTTTGGCAGGTAAAATGTGTGTAGGCATGGCAATTCCAACATTTGAAATGAAAACAAAGAGGTTGAACAAAAATTTTTTACAAGTTAGAACCTACTCCTGCCTTGTAAGTGATGAGGAGGCGCACTACAGGTAGCAGGAAGAAAACTCTGCCTTACTTTGTGCAGTGTCTTCTGCTGCCTTCATCACTCAGGCCCGCCAAGGAGTGCAGTCACTCGTCTGGCTCCTCACTACTGGTTATTGTTCATTTTCCTTCTCACTAGAGAAGCTGCAGAGATTCTGAAGATGCTGTTTGAACTTTAAAAAAGGTTGGTTTTGCTCAGAAACGAAGCCTTTATATGAGCTTGTTTTCACTTTTGTCCCAGTCTATGGATAATTAAGTCCCCTCTTGTAGTCGTGTAGTAAATGTTAATGTTTTGTGGTCAGCATCAGATGATACCAGTTTCTGACTGTCTCTTAGTGGTGAAATAATCTTGGTTTTGAAGCTGGTGGCAAAACTCCTGTTGAAAGCAGTGGATGCATCCTGCTTAGGTTGTCCTTTAGTGCTGTGTGATTTCCCCTTACATCTGGACATAGGAACATCAGACTTGGAAACTAACTTGGACCTCAGCTCAGGAATGTGGTCAAACCTTTCTGTACAGCTCTTGATGGATGTGGGGGACATGGGGTCTTCCTTCACCCCCAGCAGCCAAATGACATGGCCCCACTCTGCTCCTGGTTGGGAGCTGTGCTGAGGCAGAGGGCAACTTTGCTTTTCCTCCACTAGTGTGAATTCCTGATATAGACTGTTAATCACATGAATCACAAGATTGACCTTTGTAATGTTTTTTTGGTCTGAACAGAGAGAGCAGGACAAGTGCCTTTAAAGTTCTTCACAGAATCAGTTAGGTTAGAAAAGACTTCTGAGATGACCAAATCCAACCTTTGAGCAAACACTACCATGTTAACTAGATCATGCACTAAGTGTCACACCAAGTCTTTCCTTAAACATTTCTAGGGCCAGTGATTCCACCCCCTCCCTGGGAGATCCATTCCAGTGTCTAATAACCCTTTCTGTGAATTTGGTTGTATTTTGCACAGTCTGGGATGTAATGGATATTGCTGGATATCTATGATGCTCTGGGCTGACACAAACAGCAGAACTTACATTCAGGTATCCCAGCTGTTAGTTCAGCATCATGGATGGAGGAGAGTATGATGGCTGGGAAGCAGGATCTGGCTTTTATTCTACCACAGGCTTCCTGTGGGACCACAGGTGCATCATGTAGTTCTGCATCCCCCTGACTCTTCAGCCTTGCTTAGACTGGAGGCAATGGAGGCCACTGGAAGTCTTTCTTCCCCCATCATGGAGTGATTCCTGAAAAAAGGATCTGGAAAGGCCTCTTGGCATCACTGCTATGCCCGTTATGCCAGTTGCCCCGGTGCAGCTGGCTCTGCAGGGAGAACTGCACGGCTGAGGGCTTGCTGGGAGTAGTGTGTGCTCGTGTGGGTCACTGCTGGGGGCACCTCTCCTCCCTTCCTGCAGGGGATCCAGTGATGGCACTGGCTGTAGGGACAGTAGGCCAGGAGCAGGAGTTACTGCTGGTTTCCTGGTGCAGGGTGTGCCTGATGCACACATCGCTGGTTGTTACAGCCAGCTGAGATGCTCCCCCAAATATCAGAGCTTTACTTGGAAGCGCTGTTCAGCCATCTCCCCAAGGATGTTATGCAGAGCATTAGTCCACAGGCAGCAGCATGAACATGCTCAGACCCCAAGGAGATTTGGGATTGATCAGGCTGCAGGTGCAGGAGCCTGTTTCTGGCTCCATTCGGTCTGTTTTCGCTGTGCCAGTTCCCTGTGGGGTGGCTGGTGCAGCAGCTCTGCAGGGCCGGGGCCTCAGGACGGCGCCGCGGGCGCTGAGCTGAGCCGCCCTTCTGCTCTGCCCACAGCGGACACGAACCAGCCTCCTCATGGGGAAACTCCCCAGGTGTACACCTCTACCCCGTCAATATTTAAATATTTAAATATTTAAATAAGCACAGGAATCAGGCCATGGGAGGGAAGCTGTGTTTTAGGGGCTGAAGCACTTCTCCAGGACAGCAGTTGAAGACTGTCCTAAGTTGGATACAAAAAGAGGAAAATTTGCACCCCCATGGCTGAGAGGCTGGATCATGTGTTGGTCCCATGAAAAAACACAGTTTGAGAAGGTGACTTGGGTCTAGTTCCTGAGACCCCTCATTACATTAGTGGTTTGGGGTCAGCCCTCATATAATAGGAAGTATTCCTGATGTTGGGGGGGGTGCAGTGACGATTTGTATTTTATAAACTGCTTTGAGACAGCAGCATCAGTGCATACATTAATTCACCCTAGGGAAAAACAATTAGAATTTATTCAACCTAAATTATTAATAATTACAATTTAACTGCAGTTTACATTTTATTAATTAAGATTGGTTTGCTATCCTAGCTTATGCAAATTTTAATTAATGTTTGCTTGTATTAGTTTTCCTTAAGAAGGTAAATTGTTCATGTTCAGTGTGCATCTGTAAATATGCTTTGTAAAATAATTCCAGTTAATTTACTGACCACAGCCATTACTTAGGGAATATCACCTTGCTCAAGAAGAGAATGGAGTTGTAATCAGGCCTATAGAAAATATCAGAAGAATGTTATTTTTTGGGCATATCTGCATTTTAGTCATAATAGCAATACATAGGAAATTAGGTAACACAATTTTTATGAAGTTTTCAGTTTGGTGGTAATAACCCGTCAGCTCCTGTGACATTGATCCTAAATGTATACTAAAATCAGTTTGTGTTAGATGAACAGTGGCTTCTATGTGTTACAGTCACTGTTCAAAGACATGCCAGAGCCATTTTGTGCCATGTGGATATAGGCACTGGCATTTCAGCCACTCCTCCTGAGTGTTTGAAGAGTATGATAAGGTGTGGTATGGTTCTTCTCCCTCTTTCTGTCCACAGCAGGCTATAATTTCGTTTCTTTTAATCTTATCATGAAAGGGGAGAAGAACCCTTTGTGTTAACCTACAGAGATGAGAGGAACACAGAGCAGCAACTCTTCAGCTGCCACCTGAACTGGTGGAATGGGGCCTGTGGGTGGACACAGCAGTGATGCCAAATGCCTGGGGCGCACTCACTTCTGCAAGGATTTGATTATTGGCAACACAGCTACTTTACCTATTGAGTCCCTGGCATCCACTAGATTCTGTGGTCTTCTCTTTCCTAGCCCTCTCCTGCAAACCCAGAGCTCCTCAGCAAAGCCTGAGATCCTGAGCACTGGGAAGATGGACACCCCACCTGGCCATCCCATTTCAGACAGTCCTGGGGGTGCAGGGCTGCCTTGGGAAGGGTGTCTACTCCCTGGAGGGGAAGAAAGTGCCAGGGAAAGATGAAGCAAAATGATGATATTAGGAGAATCAGGCAGACCCTTAAAGTATTTAATCCCTTTTTTTCCTCATCTCCAGGCCTGATTCCTAGGGGAAATATGGGAGCAATTTTACTTTAATAGGCAATTTTCTGGCTTGATATTGAATCTTGAGTGATGTGATGTTATGTCTCCCATACCTATTTTCATATGTTTGCTGTTTTTCCTTAAAGTCTGCCTCCTAACTTTTGGTGCATTCCCTTTGCAGGGTCCCTTGGGACAGCTGGTCGGGTGTGCAACCAAACCTCGCGTGGCATGGACAGCTGTGAAGTGATGTGCTGCGGGAGAGGCTACGACACCTCCCGCGTCAGCAGGATGACAAAATGCGAGTGCAAATTCCACTGGTGCTGTGCTGTGCGCTGCCAGGACTGCCTGGAAGTGGTGGACATTCACACCTGCAAGGCGCCAAAGAGCGCTGGCTGGATTTCCCGGACATGACGCACAGGCTACTGATGCTGAGGACCACAGCCTTTGCCCTTCCTGGTCCACGCAGGGAATGCATCAGAGATCTTTCTTACTTCTATGCCTGTTTTGCCTTTGTGTTCATTGCAGAGATGCTGCTGAAAAATTGATATAACCCTTCAGCATTTCCTTTGCATTTCTGTGTGATGGTGTTGCTGCAGAGTTGTCTCTGCATAAACTGATGCAGCTCTGGAAGGACGTACTTGCGCCAAGACTCTTCCAACCACCGTGTAACTTTCCCGCAGAACCCTTGTGGCAATTCATTCCTGCCATCAGGAGCACAGGAAGATACACAATATGGCACTTTTACAAGATCACCACCACCAACTACATGGGCTGAGCTTACTCAAGCATCTTCTGAAGGATCTTGGGCAGGTCACAGTTGAGTCCTGGATACTGAATGGCTCAGGAGTTTGAGCACTGGTTGTGATTTCCCCATGAAAGAAAATTTGCAGCCAGATTGGTGAAAAAATTTACTGGAAAGATGTTTGTTCATCCCTGGTGAACTGGAGTTTCCAGTAAGGTGGCCACCTGAGGCTACTCTGGCCACCATTAGCACACTGTGGCTTCCTGTGGGGCAGGAATTGGACCATGGCCTAAAACAAAGAAAATTGCAGGAGATATATTCAGCCACAACACTTTGATGAACTATTAGAGTCAAAGCAAATGTCTCAGTTATCTGTTTGTGAAAACTTGCCTTAAAAGCTTTTAAAAAATAATTAACTGCTGAGGAATTTTTTTTTCTGACCTGAAGGATTGAAGAGAATGATTTTTCACCTTAGTGAAAGCTAGGTATAGGACACTCAACTACCTAAGGATAAGGTTTCCTCTTTTTCACATATACAATAGTGGAAAAATGTTTGTGAACCGTGATGAGAAGGAAATGCCTTGCCTTAGTAATGACGTGGGTTCTAAAGAAGTTATCAGCTTCTATGTTCTTTTAAATTTAATAAATCTATTAAATATGCTCAAAATTATACTTTCCCTCACTCAGATGGGGACATATTTCTGCATATTTTCTGCAAAACCACATGCCTATGATTTGGAGTGTATCAGCTTGTAATGGAGGCAGTTACAGGTTGTGCCAGGTCCATAACCTGGACATATCCATATCCCAGAGTTGGGATCAACACAAAACAACAAGTTGCTGTAAAAACGTGCAGAAATTTCAGCCTTGGTGGAGAGGAACTGGGTCAGAGTGGGACCAGCTGCCTCTCCTCAGGGCAGAGGTCAGCAACATGAACCAAGAGAAAAATGGGTTCTGTGCCAGTAAGTATAATAAGGCTTTGAAAAAGCACCCATGAAGAGTAGAGACAGGCAAGCTAATGAAAAAATAACATAGGAAAAGGAGGTTGGACGAGTGATAGAACACATTGTAGATGAAGGTACAATTTCCATGTGAAAATGAAATAGACTGAAGAACCCTAGCAGGTAGAAACAATGCAGGAAAAAGTAATATCCAAGTAGCTAACCAAGGCAATAAAGTGAATACTCTGGGTATGTTTTGTTTTTGGAACTTTCTTGAGAGACTATTTAAAAAGAAGGGGGTTTGGTATTAAGTGGTCTTGAGGGAGCAGTCATTTACATCTGCAAGGCTTTCAAAAAAGTTTGTATCATTAAAATGGGTAATTCATCTCCAGGAGGCACAGCTGGTGTTAAAATATTAGGAGGCTGCAGTAAGTTCTTTACTTGGACAATAAGATAATGTTTCAGTTACTGTGTATGGAAATGACCACAGCTAGAAGTAACAATAATCACACTTCTGTTTATAAATCAACTGCTGGTGGGGAACAGCCCTGCCCACGTGTCTGTGCACATGCAGTGTATGTATAATATGTATATATGTACCCATGGGCAGCTCAGGGGTTATACTGCTTGCCTCTTCATTGCTGCCAATTCTGGCTCTGGACTGGATAAGGAAAATTTCATACCTAATTGTATTTAAAGGTGAGCTCCAAGGAGAATTTTTATTGGGATTTCACTGTGAAATTAAATCCACATGTAGTTCATAGTCTCAGCAATATCATACTTTAAGCCTTAAAGAATTTAAAAGCAGTATAATAATTTTTAACCTTTTAGAGCAGTTTGTTTTTTTTTTAAGATTTAAGGAGCGTGAGTAGTCTAGAAGATTACCTATTTAATAAAGCTGAAAATATTTCAATGTTGTGGGAAAAAGAAAAAAGGCTCATTCTTACAAGAGAGCTTGTTCTGGGTAGTTGAATGAAGAATAATGAAATCAGATCTCTTCTTAAATCTGTTACAATTTGTTTAATATTCCAGAAAATCAACTCACCTGAATTCTGCAGTCTCAGATAAAGTGTTTTGGAGTCGCTGTGTTAAAAGGGTATTAACTTTTACTCCCCAACCTGGTCCTCCTCTGCTAAGGCACATCATTCTGTTCCAAACCTTCCTCTGGGTCAGAGGCTTGTGGTTCCTTAAAACGATTCTTACCAGTAGGACCAGGGAGATGGGAGCATCGAGTCCCTTGGCCTTTTCAGTGTCCTTTGTCACCCTGTCCAGCAGCAAGCCCACCCAGGTGTGCACAGCAGGCTGATGTTCCCGTTTCAGGCACGTGCCCTACTGGTAAGCCGTGATAAAATGCCTGCATCAAAACCACTTTACCAGAGTGGAAACCCAGAATATTTCACAGCATAACAAATGGGCAAATGCTGAGCTGGCCACTTACTTGATGACAGGTTTTTCTGTATTTATGGAATTTTCTTGGTGTTTTTTATGAGTTCAAGGCAGATTTATCACAGTTGTAGGCACTTCTTCTGCTTCTTCCACAACAAAATTCACTCCCAGAAACTTTTGCTATTTCTTAGTGGCAAAAGATGCTCAGAGATGGTAAATATTGCTAGGAAAGGTGCCTCCATGATCTTGAACAAATCTAAAAGAGAATATGAGGGGAAAAAAAAGAGGAAACAAAGAAAGAAGAAACATGCCTCGAAATAGGCATGGCAAATGAAATAATATTGTAGTTTTGTTTTGCGGAATAAATTTACTCATGTACTTAGTCATGAAGAGGAAACAGCTGTCTCTAGGTAGACATTTTAATGTCAGAATAATGTTAGCTGAGGCTAAAGGTTGTAGGATTATTTTTTTAAATACGCAGTCCAATTTTCTTGAGGGAGTTCCCTTTAATTTGCTGCATGAACTCAGGATCTAGCAGCGCCCTGAAACACTGTTACCCTGCCAAGCTTTTTGGGATTGCTTCCTCCCCGCTATCTTCAACAAACTTTACCATAAAAAGTGTGTTGAGCTGTTATAGGTGAAATCTTGTAACAACAGTTTAATTTTTTTTATCACATGGGAAATGAGGAATGTCTTAGGAATGGTAGTGTATATTAGGGCATGTGGGCATTGGGGCTTGAGAGCCTGCTGCTTTTTCTTTTCCTGGAAAAATACCTGAAACAAATTTGTGCATCTCATCCTGGCCTCCAATCCCTGTGTGCACTTCTTTGCAGATGTGAATTAGAAATAAAATGCTGCATTTCTGGTACTGCACTGCACAGTTGCTTAAGGGCATCCAGCCTGCATGCCCAAGCCACAGCTGTTGGCCACTGCCTGCAGGCCTCACGCCCAGCTTCTTATGGGGCTCAGTGTACAGAGGCAAGGGGGAAAGGATTGTTCAGGGATTAGTGAAGATCTGGATCTGGGGAAGGTGCTTTTGCTACAAAAAACCAGCTCTTACTCCAGTGTGGCAGCACAAAGTATACCAAGGCTCACTCTTCTCCACGGCGTTTGCCCTGCACTCTTTGGCTGCATGCAGGTGGTGGCTGCCCCCAAGGGCAGGAATGGTTTTGTGGTCGTGTCACAGCCTGCAGGTTTTACCCGCCACTTAAAATGATAGAAATTAACTTCTATTTTTATCAGAAAGACAGAGACAGCCCATGGGCTGTAACCACAAATGTGATTTTGGGTTGTTACCTTTTCTGAAACAGCTCATTTGCCTGGGGAAATGGATGCAACTTCATAAAGTTAAGATCTCTTTTGGGAAAGAAGCTAATGCATATGAATCACTAAATTGACAACTCCCTCTGGTGGGAGCTGGGCAGGAGCCCTGCTGGAAGCTGGGTGGAGCAGATTTTACAATCTGTACCTAGAGCCACTGAGGCATTCAGGGCCACCACAGGGGACAGCCACACTGGCTGTGAAGGGGTGTGTGTGACTTGTGCAAGAGGTGTAGCTTCCTTTGGATGTTCAGCTTCTGCAGGTTTCTTCAACATGGCAAATCTCCTGATAATGTTCCTCCTTTCTGCTAGGGTAAGGACTCCCATACTCTGAAAAAACAGTCCGTTTATTCAGCATACACACCAAATGATAAAAAAGAGAAAGCAGCAGCCCTCCCCTTGGTGTAGCACTCACCTCTCTGAGTGCAGTTCCTGCGGGAGCAGCTGTTAATCTATTCATTGGGAGGGAGGGACAGAAGGGGCCAGCTTGATTTGAAACTCCTGGGGGGGTCCTCTCCTTTCTTCTATACATGTTATAGTATAAAGAGATAATGTGCATTCAAATTCTATTAAGTTGTCTTTAAAGAAAAAAAACAGGAACTGTTAACATTTGGAGTTAAAAAGCCTCCTCCACCCCTAAATCTGAAGATGAGTTATTACCTGAACCAGGTTTCCACAAGGCTCATCTCTGCACTAAGCCAGAGGCTTTCCATCATTATAATCATGGGCTGTGTTTGCTTTTTGATCTAAGCCATACTGAACTTCACAGGAAACATGTCAGAGGCAGCAAAGCCTAAGGCAATAAACACTGCCTAATGAAAAAGAAAATTCTTTTTTCTGATATGCCTAGTCTTTCAGAGGCCTAGAATTATAATTAAAGAGAGATTTTCCAGATAAAAAATCCATGGTCCATTACTGCTTATTAGGGAGATAGGTACTAGAATTAGTAGAAATAAAATTGCATAAAGGTATTTTTGAATTCTTAAATATTCCCCCCCATAGTTCAAGGAAAGCATGTGATTCTTCTAGGAGTTAAGCATTCCTTTTTATCAGAGTAATACAGATAGCAATTCCCACACAGATCATAGTATCTTTGTACAGAAGGCCAAACTACAACCTCAGCTGCTGACAAACATGGAGCTTTGTAGCTAGTATACACTTTGCAGCTAGTACACACTGATGTGCAAATGCAAGCACATTTACATTTAGGACTGTGAATCACAGCAATTTATTCTTCTGAAATGTAGGGTATGGGTGGCTGGAAATAAGTGATACAAAGCAGCACAGGACAAGAGCTGACTATGCCTGATCCTTCTAATTTTCAGCAGCCTTAAATAATTCTGACAGTGCTGTTTTGAGGCAAACAAATCAGAATGGTTATCCCTAGTTTTTCAGCTGGAGATAGACAGCAGCTCCTGCTGTGAGGGTGTTTTCTGTGGCTGTTCTAGCAATTCAGATGAAAATAGGACAACTCAAATATTGGTCCATTTCATACTTCCACATGCTTATCCACTCACAATCTACTACCTCTAATCTTATGCCACATCCTACATTAACTGCAACCCAGACTAATTTCAACATTACAGTGAATTGTTTTGCAGGAGTAATAGCCAGCTATTACAAACCTGTATGGAAACCCCCAACAGCCTCACCAGGTCTAACATTTGTCTGTGGGGCTCTCTCGTCCTCTAGACCTTGGGGCTTGCCCAGGTGTCACTCTTACAGCTGATTTCTCCTGGTGTGGGGCTGCCTTTTTTAATCTTGTAGCATAGCAGTGTTTACATGGTACTTCTGCTCACTTGAACAAACATCTGTCTTCTACTAGACTAATGTGTCTGTGATCAAGTGAACAGAAAATAATGTAATGAATCTTCAATTGTTAAGAAACACTTTCCTTTTATACCAATTCTAGTACTGGGAGTTTTGTCTCTGCTCACTAATTTCCTCACTGATAAACTCATCTGCTAGTGATCACAGTCCCTTAAACTGCTCAGCATTTTGAGAGCAACAGCGAAGCTGAAATGGTAAAGTGGCATTTTTGATCCACAGCATCAGTGTTATGCTTCCTTATCGAGAAAGTGAACTGGGGAAAAAAAACCTTGAGGCATCTCTAAGGATGCACTTTTAATTCTTGACAGAGAGGATGACTTCCTTCAACTTCCAGATCAAAATCTTCATTTTAGAGCTGGCCTCGGAAGTTCCCATCAACAGTGGCTAAGTCATAAATTTATACTTGGTCTAAACAGTCACAGCACAATGATAAGACTTCCTGAGGTGAACACTAATAGTGAAACATCAACCTCTCTATTAATTGTGCATGAACTAACCCCCATTTTACTAATGAGCCTTTAGAAGGTACCTAAAACACCAGGAGTGTGAAGAAAATCTGTCAAGAAAATTCAAATGAGGATATGGTGACCTCTGTGCAGAGATGGGAATCAGAAGCCAAGTCTGCCATCCAAACTGCTTGGAGAGCCTAAAGCTGCTTTAAGCAGGAGCTTCAACTGTCTAGAAGCCTCATCTAGACTGCAGAAGTGAGGGTCTCACCCTAATTGAACTTCACAAGAAAAGGCAGGGACAATGTTGCTTAATTATAACATAATCAGTACGTTTCATTACCTTAATGCATAGCTACACCCTAGCTATGACCAAACAGATACCACAGGTTTAAAAACCAAACCCTAGGATCTGTGTTCTGAAAAAATCGGAAGACAGCAATGCTACAATACACAAAAGTTTATTTTTTTCTTTTCTGAAGGCAAAATATAATAGAACCTAACATCAATGTATTTTGTACAACAAAACAGGTTTTATATGAGAACAGACAATCCATGAAGAGTTTTTAAGTCTTATAACTGCTTCCCTTTTTTATCATGCTTTCCTGTGGTCAACAAAAAGTTGGCACAGAAGATGTCATAGCAGTCAGTCAGCAGGCATGCTCCCTCAGATCCTTGTCAGCTGGTGCCACAGGCTGGAGGGCAGGATACTTTCTACTTTCTCCATCACAAAATTTAAAGGGGCAAAGAGGGTGCTGAGAAACTGCAAAGAAATCAGATACACATTCAGATCAAAATCCAGGAGACAATCTTTCAAGAGAAAGTTGTCCAATAAGATAAGATATTCTTGCTGTGTTCCTCTGTAAAATCCTCCAGCATGATCAAAATGAAATAATTCACACATAAAGACTTTCAAATTCTTGAACCTTGCACATACAGAGATTTATGGATTTTGCAGTAAAGAAAGCCAGAGCCCACCTGTACAAAGATCAAAGTGATGAACTACAAAAGTTTCCACACATCTCACATCCTAGAATGAAGCTCATACTAAAGCCATTAACCTAGCCAAAACCTAGTGAAGAGAAAGAGAGGCTTTTTCATAACAGGAGTATGCCAGACCACCTCACAGAGACAAACATTGTGTCTTGAGATTCAGGTTTAAAATGGTTCAGGGTTATCTATAGATCTGCCCTATACACTGAAGCATCACTAACTGTAATTTATACTAATATATTCTGCATCACTGACCAAAATTTATCTTAACATCATCTCTTTAGTACAGAACATAACATTCAGAGTCTTCAATATATTAGTGTTCAGACAGGCCTGTGAAAAAAATCAAGATGGAGGACATTTTATCACAAGAAAAAAAACACTGGCAGCTACATGTCACAGAACTCAGGTATTTGGAGCACTCCTGAAATACATATTGAAATACATATTAATATTAATTTATTATTAATACATTTGAGAAGTACATGTTAACTTCTGTGGCAGAAGAACTAAGCATAAAATCTCATAATGCTGCCAGCATATATTCTTTGTTCAGGATATAAGGCTGATAAACATAGGAACAAGGGTAACAGGGACAGATTTGGGATCTACAACTGTGACAGTATCAGAAAACTAAAGATTTGATTGAAAGAGCCAAACGAGGGTCATACATTTCAGTAGCTTCAGTAACTAAGGAACAGAAATTCCAATCACTGAATCCAAGAAAAGCCTTACAGAGAAGTTAATGATCATATGCTCAAGTTAAACACTTACTGTTTACCTAACACCTATATACACACTTGAAAAACAAGAATGAGTAATATTACTTCAGGTATGTTTCAGCACTTTTTGCTGAAAGAAGAGGTATCTTCTGCTATAATCAATCTTATTTTGTGTCTTCTAGAGCTAATGAAAAAATTCTTGTTGCATGAACTGCTGCTGCACCAGACCCTGCTCACAGGCCTAGGTTAACAGAAGACCCAGCTCACCTGCAAAGGGGGTTGAAAGAGTACTGACAATCTGGAATTTGCCAAAACCTTTCAGCCTGGCCTCCTCCACCCTGCTCCCTATACCCCCAAATAAAAAGTACCAAAGACATTAAAAACAAAGCCAGGAGACCAGTTTGGAAACATGAGACCTAAAACAGAGACAAATATATTTGAGAAAATGTATTACAATGGAAGATAGTATTTACTGGAGAAGGAATTTTTTACTATCCTAGAGCTTTTCTGTTAGTGGATTTTTCATCTCCTAGCATGCTGGAGCATTCATGTTCTTGGTTTTGCAAAGAAAAAAGTTTGGTTTAGAATAATTCATGGCTCTTCCCCATCATTCTCCAAAATTTATTAATCCTTAGTGGATTAAAAAAGCAGAATTAGGAGAGACTTCTCTGGATGTAGTTCAGGAAAGTTATGAGGGAAATATTGAGACAACTTCCTCCTTGGCAGTTCAGGGAAAAAACACAGAAATTTGTCCTGGTTAACAGTACACTCTATTTCTGCTCATACTGAGAGTTTCTATTGCACTCGAAATCACATCAGCCATTATGACTCTACACAAAATAGAGGGGTTCTAATTACCAAGAATGAACTGTTATTAGTTTATTTTAATGGATTATATATGAAAATACAGATATTAATTTCTCCCACCAAGCCCTTTTTTTTTGGCAAAATCACAAGATATCAAATCTAAGAAGAGAGCCATATAAACCAGAGAAGACAAGTAGCTCTTCTTACTGATTAGCAACCTTTACAGTTGTGCATATATCCCCTGCTCAGATATGGACTGATGCTTCTGAGTAGGCAGATATTTAATACCTGGAAGTATTTAATTCAGCTTTTCCTGCATTGGTGTCTTTATTTACCAGAAGGGAGCAGCAGCAAAGAATACTCACAGCTTTTGCGAAGACCCCCATGAGCTCTGGGAACTGATGTGTCAGGAGGGCGAGCATGGCTGTGAAAGAACAGAGTCCAGCAGTGAAGAGGATGAAGAAGGGAAGCTCTTTCTTGGGATAAACTGAAACCTCATGAAATGCTGTAGAAAAAGATATGAGAAGGGGAAGGCATTATACATTGAAAAAAACCAAAACACAACAGCAAGCAAAACCAAATGAATGTTCTTACATAACTTGAACAACCAGAGACAGACAAAGATGCTTTTGAAGAAGGAAGAAAATGGAAGGTCTGATACATCTAAGGACATTATTGTTGTGTCAGTTGTCTGCCAAATAATTGTCTCTAAAGATCACATTTCTGGTTTACTCTGGTGCTATGTCCACATCACTTTCGTCTTCCTTGTGTCAGCAACAACTATCATGCAGTTCTGCAACAGCTAATCCCAGAAAACAGACTTAGAAATAAAACATTTTTAATTTTTTTAAAATGTACATCATTAACTAACCCCATGGCTGCATATTTGCTAATGCTGATACACGAAGAGTTCAGAAATGTGCCCGGAAGCAGCAGTGAGCCCAACCATATGAAGCATTGCTGCAGACCAGTTAAAGCAGGCTGTAAAACTACAGCCTTTGTAACTGTAAATTCTGAAGGTTTTATCTGCAGAGACAGAAAAATTATCCTAAGAGCAGGACATATAAGCATATATTTTAAAACCTGGAAATTAAATAAACAGTGAATTTTTAAGGTGTTTGTTAATATAGGAATCCGATAGGAATACAGACATTTCCTTGACTCTGAGATAAAAAATCCTTCATTGGCCTTAGAAAAAACAGCACTGAGATGACTAAAAGGGTTAGAAGAAGATAATGAATATTTTACCAGAAGGATATAACCCTTAAACTTTTATGGCAGCTCAGATTCAGGGTGAAAATTTTGTCTACCCTGGCAAAAGGTCAGGTGGACTCTTACCTGTCTGTTTCATTCCTTCAGTCTGTAGTTTAGAGCTACAGTCAAGATAAATGCAAACATTTTCTTCTCCTTTTCTTAAGGACCAACCTTAAGGCTTCATATAGACTCAAATTCTATGGCTATTCATATATATGAAACATGACTCTTCCATGTTGCCTACTTTCTTTGCTTCAGTCATCAGCTCTTAATGTCTTTGTACTTGCAGACTACATAAACACAGGGTAATCCAAAACCATTCAAGATTGCATTCATTCAGAGTGGAGTGGTTCTTGAAACCAAAAGCAGGAATTCATAAGAGTTTAAATTAAAATATTAAAAACCAGAAATATGTATTACTTGAGTCTGCTAGTTTGATCAGTTAAAAAAAAAAACAAAAAAACAAAAAACAACAGCAGGGATAGATTACAACTTCTCTTTGATTTAAAATAAATGCAGATATCAGAAATACCAGAACATGGACTTTGTAAGTCTAGGATTGCTTGCACTATTCTTGCACTGCCTTTTCACACAGGCACAAGTCTGCTGTTCCAATCTGTTATCCAGTCAGGGCAAAACTTTTGTAATTGACATTTTTAATTTGGAGAGCCTATCAGATTGCTGTGTTCTGATATATCTAGCTGACTCTCCCATAAAACACACACAATTAAAGGGTGTGGACAGGTATGCAAAACCCCTCTAACCCACCTGTGTATGTCATGGTGTTCTAAACCCTTCCCTCCTCTACCCCAGGAGATTTTGCAGTGAAAGGCATTTCCCATAACTGCCAGAGCAGAACACACTGCCTGCATATGCTGTTAAAGAGTCCTGCTGTTAGCTTGTAACATTTGACAAGAACAATTAGTTTTGCATCTAAAAAAAGATTGCTGAGGTATTCAGCATGACTTTGTCATTCCTAAATCTCCAGACACTCCACCCTCCCCAGCTCAGCATCCCTCTGAGTAAAGCAAGCAGAGCACTCTGAGAGGTGTTGTTATAATTAGGATGATTATAATGGGGTGGGGAGATACTGTCAGTTGCCAAGGATTTCTGCGTAATATCAGCAAGAATGTGCTGTGAAGGAAAGACTTGCAATGAGTGGATTTTCGCTGTATTATTCTCACCTAATGTCTACTCATGTAGGCTTATAAAAAGAGGCAACATCTCTTTCAGCCCAAACCAAAGACTTTGTGAATGAAAGACTACAAAGGATGCAAATACCCAGCTTTCCCAGCAGAAGCAGGCTTCATTTTACTTGTTCCAGAACAAATTTTTCTTTATTCCTTCTTTGGGAGAAAGAAGGTGAGAGAAGAATCATCTTCCTTGGATAAACTTTTATTTCTCTCCCCTGCCCTGACCCTGCAAACTTGTGTGTGTTCCACTCATGCTCACACAAAGTCCCACAGAGAGTACATGTGGGAATGAAGTGTAACTGCAAGATTGGCTGCTTTGGCTCTTCCTCTGCATTCTTGTGCTTCACTGCATGCACTGCAATGAGTCTCATTAGCTTAGACTGTAGTGCTTCTTGAGGGCTGGATCTCTGTTTATATCTGTATCTGGGAACACTGCTGGCACTTTCCTAACACACGCTATAAACGCACATAAAATTGGCCGAGATGACTTCACAGTCTCTTCGTAATAGTACACATGCCGTAACATGAAGAAAACTCTTTCTTGTTATTAAAGACTGCTTTTTGGAAACTGCAAGCACAGCCTGTCATGAGTACTAGCTGCAGTAATGATCCAGCTGTCCTCAAGCAAGTTGGATTTTGCCTTGGAATTTAAGTAGCTCATGCGTCTACCAAGGATTAACAAGGCTGTGACACTGTGCTTTTGGTTTGATGGGATGTTAATCTAGATGAAAGATCAGTGTCTTGGCAAGAGACAATAGCAAGATCTAACTGATTTGGATCTCTTGGGCAATATCTCTCCCTGTCTGTAAGCTGTCAAAAATACTAAATACAGCTAATTGTTATAAACTATGCTGAGGACCTGCCTCTTGAACCGTCACGGGAGCTCCAGAGGCTCACTGTCCATCTGGTTATTCTAATCCAGTGTACTCAATTTAAAAGGCATCAAAGGAGACCCGTGCTGCAAGACTCAGGTAAACAATTCTTTGGTGTCAATCATAAGAAGAAAAACATTGAACATACATGGTAGTAGTTCTCTATCTGCAGTTTCTGTACAAATAGGGTAAGGGTAGAAAAGATGTCCTTTTTCCAGTGGATAGGGGATCATTCTGAAAGCTGAAAAGAACACATGGTGTATAAGTTACTGTGAGTGTGGCAGTCATACTTACAAATACTTGCAATTCTGAAAAACAAACACAGACAAAACGCTTATATTTGGTTCCAAACAGCATATAAATTGCTTAACAAAATGCCAAAATAGAAATCTACATTGAGCTTTTAATCACAAAAACTCCTATGTTTGTTTTTATTCTTGAAACAATGTTCATGAATGTCAGGTGAGACCATATTAAAAGGACATACAAAAATGTTTGCATAATCAAAGCCCATTATCCTTCCATATTTATACATTTTGTCTTAGGCTTTTAGGCTGCAGAATTTTTAATTTCAGGGGAAAGAAGTGTATCTGATATAACAGGTATAGCCTACAAAAATGAACAGCCAAGCCAATACTCACAGTCTCTGTGCATCAAGAATAATAGAAATCTTTAATGGAAAAAATACACTACTCTTTTTCCATTACACTCCAGCAAGCCAGGTAACACTCATGACATGAGCTCTGAGGACCAGTTTTCCAACAGTCATGTTTTCATTTTCTATTTGGCAATCAAAGATTAGTACTAAATTATTAAACCCAGTTTCCTCTCATGCATTCTTTCTAAATGTAGCATATCAAGTCAGGTTTCCAATATAAATCTTCAGGTCATTGATTAAGTAATACTTAACCTTATGAATTTTTAAAATTGAAAATAGTAACAGAGAGGGAGGGAAATGGATTACTAGATCTTGACAGTGCTGAAGTCATAGGCCATCTGAGTGTGGTTTATGGAAACATCAGAATACTTGAGAGAAATATAGCTTTGCATCAAGACATCCTTTTCCATTATCCTATGTATTATTTTCACTGTTAAAATGTCATCAACATGTTATTCTCACTACTCCTATGAACATCAGTCACTGAAGCAGTATTTTCTCCAACAGATGTCCTAGAAGCACTGTACACTTAAGTTGTTAGGTACAGCCCACTGCTACACAATAACACTCCATTATCTCTCACTAACAAGGCCACTTAAGAATTAGTTTAAATACACAGTTCCCAAATATTTTCAGCTGTGCACATTGCATTTGAAATAATGTTAGCTATATTTTTTGTGAAATTGTATTACTGTATTTTTTATTTATTGCTGTATTTAAAACAATAGTAAAGAAGGCAGATATCCTAAAAGATTGTAAACCAACCTGGGCTATAATGCTCTTCCAGCATTAACCACCTCTCTCCATAGCAACCCAAAAAGCCAAGGAAAATACAATAATCCAAGCTGTGTATGATCTTAACACACAACAAACTTGAGTGTCTGTACAAAAACAGACGTGGAATGTGTTCAGTGCTCATTTCTTCAAAATCCCTAGCACAAGTTTTTCCTTCCAATTTGGCTTAATATTGAAACAGACAATCAAGCCTCTTCTGCCTAATCCTAAACCACAGTAATATTAAGATTTTAATCAAAATAGAATGTGAGGTAAAGACGTTGCTTTTATAAAACAAGTGAAAAATATCTGGATAGATTTTACTCAATTTAAGCAGTCATGCTTGACATGAACAAGACCAACTATGGGATATTAGCAATGTTATCAGCCATGGAAGGAAGTGCTCTTGTTTATCTGTATCAGTTTGTGTCTATGTAGGTACTTCTCTGCCTTACTCCTATGCTATTATCTGATCCTATTTTACATTAACTGACTCAGGTAGCACAGAGGCAGTTTTCCACTCACCATGTACTGCAGCTGCAAGAGCTACTGGAGCAATTGGGAACCCCTAGGTTTCTTTTCCTCATTCAAACAGTAGGAATTTTAGCACAAGCTTAGAAATCAATAGTGACAAACCATCACCCCAGACACTTTTGAAACTTGGTTACACTTGAAACTACAGACCTCCTGTACAGAGAATGTGGCCCAAACACAATGGTGGCACTTGGGCTTTTATAGTTGTACTACAAATAAACGCATAGAAAGAAAGCAAGGGCAACTGACCATGTATTATATGTAAACTGTTGGTTAAAACTAGTATTTAATTACATTTAACTTCTCTGTCATGTCTTCACTGGCTTTTACTTAGTTATGCAGAGATGCCAAGATATGGACCAATCATTATGATTATTGGCATAGACACTGTGAAACCATTAAAACCCCTGGCTGTCTTCATGTGTGAACAAAATTTGAATAAGAATTTTGAGGACTCGTGCACTGTTTGTACTTTTCTGAAGTCACTGTACAAAATGAATTATGAATTTTTCTGCAGAAGTTATGCAATGATATTAATTTACATCTTTACAGGCTATTATACAGCTATTAGCTATTCAATTACATGTTCAGATTGCTGAATGTGGAGATAATAAGAAGGGGAATGTAGTTAGCTGAGAATTCCCTATGTTGCCTTCAGGCACAGATGACTTGTTTCCTAAATGGCAGGAGAACTGCAGGGCAGCCAGACTCCCGTGCCAAAACCTGGTCCTGGTACAAAGCCCTTCAGGGGCTCCCCAGTCTAACAAAGCAAAAGAAGATCTGCTCAGGCTTCCCTGCAAAACACTGCTTTTACTGATGGAATAATGAACCCTGAGCTAAAGGACTTCTGCAACAATCCAGAAAAGAAGGAACACTGCGTAAAAGCAAATCACTGAAAATAAACCAATGGGAAATGAACCTGTGACAGAGAAAATAATAGACTGGGAGAAATAATGGGAGAAGAGCTAGCAGGGAACAATGCAGCAGAGCAAACCCCAGGCAGCAATGGTATGGATTACTGAGCTAGGTGTTCTATACACCTAGAAAATAAACCAGTGCATCCTCAGGGAGCCTACACTGCAAATTAGGCAAGTTCAAGTCATTTCATACTGTAACTGAGATAGTAAGTCACTTTTACACTACAGGTATTAAGTGCATTTCTATAGGAATTATCATGGTATAATATCAAAGTATCTTTTCTATCAAAGCTAAATGAGGACAAAAAATAGTGAAACATTCACACACACAAACAAGTTGGTATAGTAACATATGGAAAGGATGATAAAGAATAGAATAAAGCAGAGAAAAATGGGGAACTAGATTATATAAAGGAAAAAAACTGCATCAGAAAAAAGGCCAACAAAGTCTGATTATAAGTTGTACTTTTAAATTCCCTGAAATCTGGTAAAAAAACACATCTCAAAGACAAGATAAGAGATACTAGAAAGCTAGTATAGATCACTCCCACTCAAAGTAGGGTCATTTCCAAGTTATTCTGACTTGCTCAGAACTATGTCAAGCTGAGCTCCGGGTATCTCTAGGGCAGGAGACCCACACTGTGAAAATATGTTTCTTAGGTCTGGATTAAATTTATCTGCTTTGAACTTGTGTGTATTGCTTCTTGTCTTTATGCTAGGCTGTTCTGTGAAGACTGTGGCTCTCTCTTCCATATAATCTCTTTGTTGTGTGGTGGAAGACAGCAACTGGATTATCTCTTCACCCACCATGAGACTTTTCAAAGTTGAACAAAACCACCTTCCTCAGCATTTTGTCCTATATCACATATTCCAGTCCCCTATGCATCCCAGCAATCCTTCACTGAATTCACTCCAGTTTGTCCATTTAAGAACAAAGTCATAAAATACAGCGTTGCTTTACGTTACACATTAATCTACATCTGCCTATAAGGCACACTCATAATTTCCAAATATCAAAACATTCACAGAATCACAAAATGGTGTGGGTTGGAAGAGATCTTTAAAGATAATTTAGTTCCAACTCCACTGCCATGAACAGGGGCACCTTTCACTAGACCAAGTTGATTGAAGCCCATCCAACCTACTCTTGGACATTTTGAAGGATGGCGCATCCACAGCTTCTCTGGGCAATCTATTCCAGTGCCTCACTACCCTTACTGCAAATTATTTTTTGTTTATGTCCAATCTGAATGTATTCTCAGTTTGAAAATATTTGTTCAAATAATGACAAATAAATCTCTGGAATGAAATAAGTTAAATTATTATCTCCTTATCCATGAGCAAGAAAATATGTCTCAAAGAAGTTGGGAAATTTTGTTCAGTACTACACAGCAAACACAAGACTTCCAATCCCTTTCACTCATTAAATGAAGTTTGTGTTTTCAGTTCAAATTTCAAATATTTCAATGCTGGTGAGGATGTAACAGTGTCCAAAATTCTCACATACTACACTTGACAAAAACGATTACTTTTTTCAAAAATATCTTATTAGCTCCTTTGTAAGAAAGATGATTACTTACTGCCTTCCCATGTACAGTGTAAGAGGTTTAATGCCCCCTCTACTCTTTTCCAGTGCTGAAGATGAAAGAAAGCATATGCTATTGCTTCACTGTCCCCTCTCTTCAGAATATGTTCAGGGGGCAGAATTAGGCTTTTCATTTCTAGTAGATACTGAAATAAAAAAGCAGAGCACAATTATTGCAGAGACAATACAAAACACAGAAAGCTGACTGCAATTCTATAATGCACAGTGAAAGGACTATTTCTCTAAAGTACATTTTCTCATAATGCTTCCTCAAATGTGTACCATCACCAACTGCACTGGAAGACAGCTATTGAATTATTCTCAAAAACTAAGATATGCTGTCAGATGGTTCTGCTCTACAGGAGTAGTATGGGGACTATAGAGAAATTCAAAATGAAACCTCTCCTATTGAAAGAGATGAAAAAAAGGGCTCAAAGCAGAAAATGGAATTTAATTACAAGAGCTTTTTAATTAAAAGCATTTATAATAAAATGAAATAGACTTCAAGCATTTTGAGGCAAAAAATTATATGTTTAGGAAACATATAATTCTTATAGTTCACACACAGGTTGCTGCATTTACTGTATTGCCATTAATTGGTAGCGAGATCTATGAATATACAAGACTGGCAGCCACCTAAGTAGCTAAGAACAAGTTACAAAGTAAAAATGTTACAAAATATAACAAATTCCTGATATCTGAAGGTGGGGGTAAAAGTATAGGACCTTTAAGCTTGCTACTTGAAATCTGTCGAATGTGTCATTACAATGAAAAGCATTACTGATGAAACCCACAAACAATTTTCACAGAAAATTTCCCCGTAACTGGCTCCCCCCACCCAGCAGAAGCCAATGAAACATACAGAGGGTTCATGACACAGGAAAAGATAAGAGTTCTCATACATTATTCAAGCAGGTGATTTTTCCTCCCTCCTCATTTTTCCTCCCTCCTCCATGAACTAGACTAACTAGTTAACTAGACAGACAACTAACACCAGTTCAGCAGACATCACTGATACTGCTACATTCCAGTTATTGGAGGGGGAAGAAACAGAAGAGGGTAAAGATGAATCCTTTCCTGTAAAGATGCCCTTGCTGGCATCCTTTACAGAAAAGGAGGAACAGACAGGAACCAAGCTGCTGAATCAGCTCCTGTCTGTCAGTTCTCCTGAGGAGTATGACATTTCCCAGCTGTGTTCTGAATGCTCTTCCACAGCACAGGGAAACTGTCACTCTCCTCCAGGACGCCCAAGATCAAACGTTCTCCCCACCAGACCGTTCAAGTTAACAGACAAGGCAGCAGGTGAGGCAGGCCTTAGCACAAGGCTGGGAAAGGAAAGGTATAGCTGATTACTGGCAGTGAAGGAGGGAGTGTGAAGCCCCTCCATTTCAGCCTGTGCTACAGCCTGGTCTGGAAGGAGGAGGACTGCAGGACTTAGGGACTGACAACCTCCTACTGCAGGCACCCATGAGAAGGCAACCTGGCACCGTAGGCAAAAGGGGGCATGGGTGGTGTCAGCATTGCTCAACCGCTGATAAATGCTGGCTTTTGTGAACAGGATGTGCTGGTGCAGAAAAGAAGGCAAAAGAAAGGAATGACAACTGAAAGTCAACCTTGTGGAAAGGAAAAGGCTAGAGGGAAATGAGCACCAACAGCATGATTTTATGGAGGATGTCCTAGAGAGTGTCACCCTTTTGTCTGATGGAGCTGTCATGCAGGTAAGAGATTTGGAGAGCTTATGATCAAAAGAAGAACTGTCAATGCTGGGGAATAAATAAATACCTCAAGGAGAAATCACATGTTTCTGATGTGGGTAACTATTAAAAGAGGAGAAACTGCAGTGAGAGTAGTTGAATGTGATACTGGATTTTCCCTAAACTCTTTCAGAAAAATCTGAGAGAGCTGCAGAGCAGGTGGATTAATGGAGGAAGCTGCAATTCAGTAGGCAGTCCAGGGGATTAAAGGGTGATAGAGGGAACAGCATAAAGAGCTGACAAGACAGAGGGAGCTGCCAGGCTGACATGGATACAGCAAACATTCACTGCCCTAATGAATGCCTCACCCTTTTAAAAACACACATTATACTTGTTGAGCAGAATGGAATACAGCTACAAGAGCTGCAGGTTTCTACCTGTTTTATTAATTTAGAACATTAAATTTTATTTCTGTATTTTCTGCAAAATTAAATGAGAAAATAAGTTTTCAACATTCAAATGTTTCAGCCAAAGGAAAAAATACAAGCAAACCCAATGACCTGTCACTATTAGTAGGGATAGAAAAACCAGAAAGAAATGTTGTATTTCTAGGAGCATTAAAAGAAAACATGTGTTTTGATTCTTATGTATTGTTTGTTATCAGCAACTGAAAAGAAATCAAGTGGCAATACCAGATGGAAGGATGTATCTTGATACATCTCCAACTGCATTTTTTTTTCAGGAACAAATGAAGAAGTTTAACTAGAACAAGAAATAAAATGCCATCACCATCTGGGCTTATGTTGCTCTTGTAAAAAATGAACCAGCTCAGAAACCACCAGCCTAGAAACTTCCAGTCATAATGGTCTCTTCACTCTTGTGGCCAGTGACAGGACTTGCTGGAACAGTGGAGCACTGGAACAGGAGCACTGGAACAGGAGGCTCCTCAGGGAAGTGGTCACAGCACCAAGCCTGAAGCTTTCTGACAATGCTCTTGGACAGACGGTGTGACTCTTGGAGATCGTGCTGTGCAGGGCCGGGAGTTGGACTTGATGATCCCTGTGGGTCCCTTCCAACCCTGGCATTTTCTTTGATTTGATGATTCTGTGACCCAGCCCCAATGATGTTGGAAGCAAATATTGGAGTTGCATAATGATTTCTGCCATCATGAGATAGCTGAATTAGTCCTTTGCCACTGGGTTGTTCTGGCTTGATTTTTTTTGGATTGTCTTTTTTTTTGCTTTTTCTGACCCTTCTGTTTTCTCCCTCTAACCTAACAATCAAAGATCCTATTTAGGAGTTAGAAGTACAAGAGTAGTTTTCATGTACTTCTACAGAGGGCTTCTGGGCCAGTTACACGACCTTGTGATAGATACAGCTCAGCTACAGCCGTTCTGTACACATACAAGAATGAGTTTAATGTCATTTGGAGAATGACAATGGACCTTGTATACATGAAACACAACAGGGTGGAATTTATACTTCTCTTGCTTAAATCGATCAGGTATACATTATCTATTCCACAATATTGACAGCTCTCTGGCTCCTAATTCTCTCCTGCTGGAAGTGCTTTTAGCATTCTCTATTACTCCAGTGACCTTTTATAAAATAAATCAACCTAACACAGGTTTCCTTCTTTTCCTCAATTGTGCAATTTGACTCTGAAATTACAGCTCAGGTTGCAAACAGACAACAGTCACTCCTGCACCTGTGACAGCATCCTTCCAGGCCAGAATATGAGAATTTAACATTGTTTGAATAGGAACTCTCATCTTCCCAGTGGGATGAATGGAATGAGCTTAAGAAAGTTCCAAAATATTGGTTTCTTCATGCCTAGTGAAGCCACTTTTAGGTCACCTTTCAAATTCTCATTGCAATTAAGAGGTTTGCAATTAAGAGGTTTGGCCTTTCTGCTGGAAATACAACAACAAATCAACGTCTCACTGAAGAGTTAAAAACTCTCTCAAACATATCTCAAATAGTTTCTCTGTAATATCATGGGGTGTGTGGAACAGATTAATTTCCCATCTGGTCTATGAATTTGTTTGCATTATTTGTTTCTATTAGCAACTACAACTTACTAGAAATCATACAAGCATACAGACAGATGCAATTCTTACTAAGAAAATCAAAATAAATTTTAAAAATGAGAAGGGACGTAACAGAGAACAGTTGAATCTTTAAAAGTGTTTAAGTCAATGGTTTGTCAATCCTTCTAAGAGATTGTTTATAGACAAAATTGGCATTTCTCAAAGTAATATCAATATTTAAATTGTTTGATTGAAATGCAGCATAATTCAGCAGAGACTCTCTTCAAATCAACTCAGCTCTTGGCTTACATACAAACCATACAACTGTTTGCAGGACATACTTTTGGCTCACTTTCAACAATCAGATATATGGACCATCATCTGTTTTCTCTTTAATGAACACCTCTAGTCTTATATACCACAGAAATGAAGGGAATGCTTTTCAGAAGGAGTTTGAATGAAGGGAAAGAACTCTGCAAATCAGTTCAGGAAGGGTGTTCCACAACTGAAAAATGTTCAAGAGACAGCTGTGGTAGCTTTTCAGCATTAGCTTTTTATAGTCCTGTTACATACAAGTAGGGAAGCCCCAGACACATATAAATGATATTGATGAAATTGTGTGTCTGTGTATACATACACCTTTTTCCCCAACCACACCACAAATTATGCACTCTTCATTATATGGTATGTACATAAAAACCCGGAATTACAGTTGGAATTACAGCTTCTGTGGCAATACAACCCTGTTTATCTCCTAAATTTTTGTGTAGTATGGCAAGTAATTTGTCACATTTTCTTGTTTATTTCTTCCTCACTCTGAACAAAAGACTCATTAACGTTTAAATCCTAGAGAAGCTCTGAACACACATTCGTTTTGTGACCCTGTTAGATTTCTTGTGATGCTGCTTGCTAAAACTTATCCCCATTTCATTTAAAAAAATGGGATATGACTTCAATTACAACTGAGTGGAAGTTGTGGTGTAATATCCACACACTGTGTAAAACTATAACCAAAAATGAACCTTCACACCTTAATATCCTTTAGCTAATTGCAGCAGGAATGAGTGTGAAATCACCTGTACATTAATCTGTATTAGGCTATTCTGCTTTAATGATACAATATGAACTAGAACAAACTAGAACAACCTCTGGAGTCTGCTCCTATTATTACCTTGTCATTCTGGTAATTTATATTTCACAAACATTTTCAATTTCAGTGTGTCAGACTTTGAAAAGTAGAGGGAATCAATTAACAATATGAACTTAAAAGAGATTGTGATGGAAACATTTATCAATAACATGGAGATAAGTGGGGGAAAATGGAACAGGCTCCCAAGGACTGCTCATGACAGGCTAAACTAGTATTTTTCCTTGGCAAGATCTCCAACTAGGCTTCAGTAAAACATTTAGAAAAGTTCACCCAGAACAGGACTGCGCTAGAGAGTTAAACTGGCAACTGGGCAGGAGAGAAATACCAACGGTTGTTTTGTTGCAAGAACCATTGGGATGGAAGAAAGTAAACAGAAAACTGTTTCTCCTTTCATAGTCACTGTAGAAACATTGAGGAAGTCTTTCTAAAGATGTCTAAGGCAGATCATTCTTTCCACTGCCTGTAGAGGGAATCTATATGATTTTACTAAGCAAATAACCTAACTTTCAGACAGCTATTTAATGGTTGGCATAACAAAGCTCACAGAGAAAACATTCCTGCAGTGCATGAGAATTAACTTTCTGCAATCCATGTGTACATATGAAGAGGGTTTGCGTTTATCTTGCCCAGACATGGTGTTCAACTGTACCTAATGAATAGGCTCCGTACATTAACACAGCCCTGTTTTCTGCTGCTCACTTTCAAAGGGCAATACTAGCCCAAAGGTTTGTGGGGTGAAGTTCAGAGGCGAAAAAGTCCAATTGCCAAAAAACATTCACCTTTAGCCTTCAGCAACCTCTTGACAACATTGTTATTGCTGAGATACAGACCCCAGAGAGCAGGTATGGGAATTAGAACACAAATCCTTTTTTTTTTAACTTTGCAGTTCTCAGCAATTCTTGATCTCTGAGCTTTGCATTCTCAAAACTTAACAACAGGTTGCTGCATAAGGAATTACTAATACAAATTATATAAAGTACACCATGAATTCCAAAGACAGGTTCTTTTGTACAGCATGCCAGAAACATTTTCTTACATGCAATCATCAAAACAAATAAAATATGCTACTCTGAACTACAAAATCTTTAGTGACTATTTTGCAATAATAATCTACCTTTATACATAATCTGCCTGCAGCACAGCATTTGGTGAAATTCTCATCAGCTAAAATTTCAAGTGTAACAGTCCTGAACATGAGATTGCAAACCAAAAAACTGTGCGTACTATCAGCTTTTTTCCCTTTCCATTGTTCACTCTTTTCCACAACATCACTCATTACTCTAACACAAAAATCAGGAGTTATATCCTCAGCAGTGTTAGAGCTACAATGATGTTTTCTCAATACTCACTTTTGGCACATGTGGATTAAATTCTACTGCTCTGTGAATAGCTTCTACTGCATTCATCTCTGCAGTACTCAGCCCTCGCCTTGAGGCAGCCTCTGGAGAAAATCTACAAAAGCAAAGAAACAAACACATTAGGTCAGAAATGCTAGTAAGAAAAAGTCAGGAAAAGAATCTAGAACATGGGCCCATGTAACCAAACTGAGTAATTTTCCTATGCTCTCCAAACTTCCATAGCAAGTGGAAACTCTGAGTGATCTACTACATCAAGGCCAATAAAAATGCCAGCAGAAGCAGAAAGCATGTTTGTATCTAATCATGGCAGAAAGTCAATTCAAACAGTCCCTTCTCTGTCACTAACCTAAATTTGCTCTAAGTACCTTGCTAGGGGCATATTCAAGGCTGAAACTGCAGAAAAAAAAATTAAAATAAAAGAAAAAATAACAAGACCAAAAAACCAATGCCAAATTATTGTTGGAGGGTTTATATTAAAAACAGGTTTGGGGAAGCTTTAGGAAGGTTCCCAACCCAATGCCCCTGGGTCAGGTTGAGATGGAAGCACGATGCAGCAGCAGTAGCAGGTGGTCTACTGTCTGCAGCACCATTGAGGGTAGCATGCCCAAACTGTGGGCAAATCATCTGCCCCAGTGAATAAAAAACCAGACCATGCAATCTCTTTCTCACCTCACACCCCACGGCTAACTCCAGAGCTGTACTTGGCAGGCAGACACCACAGGGAAAGCTGTGACAACCTTAGCCCTGCCCTCCCAAGCTGGAGTCGCTGTGTAGGGAGGAAAGATGTTGCAGTAGGTACTGGCGATCTACAGGATAAAAAGAATGAAAGAAAATTACTTAGATCTTGATGTGTACATACACTTTAAAAGCAAAAACTGTCAGGTTGTCAGTCAAGAAAATGACTTTCCACTCCACTTGCTTTTCAACTTTAGGGGGCATTCGACCCTCAGGTGCACAGACACAACTCTGCCTGAGATTTGTGTGAAGGCATCTGAGAGCAGAATGGGGGTTTTTGAGCTCCATCTCACGAGGAGCTGAGCATCCTTTCAGAGTGGGCTGGTGCTCTCAAGTCCACAGGCATCAATTAGATGTGCTCAGCACCTTGGAAGGTTGAGACCCAAGAGAAAAACATAAAAGGAATGAACAGATATTTGTGTCTCTAAAAATATGAACGTCATCTACCTCTCAGAATCCCTGACATAATAATGCTAAATCCACCTGCCGCTATTTAATTAGTTGAGCACTCTGCTAACAGCACTTGTAAAATGACATTGTTACCATTGCATCCACATTTAGTTTTTTACCTTTTTGTGGTCAGGTTTACACAAAGTTGAAGAGGTTCAGCCACACAACCCTTTTCAGTTGCATCTTCACTATACTATCTAGGAAGCCAAAGCTCACCCAGACAGTATATATAGAACTGAAACAAGAACTGAATTTATGCTATTTCTCTTCTTTTCTTCTTCCTTAGCATCTCAAATGCAATGTTTGATCACTACAGATTTTTTATATAAAAAGTCATTTTATCAATTTACCAGAGGTCTTGAGTTTTCTGCTAAATCAGCAGATTGTTAGGGTGTGGGCTCAGCAAAGAAAAATCTTACATTAAATCAGGAATTTTGCTGGAATGTGGTTCTTAAGCACTTACTTGTCAGAGACAGCTCTGGCTTTGAGCAATGCAGCTGTGTAGCATATTGTTGCTGATTTTGGTAAACTTATATCTGTTGAAAAGAAAGGAAAAAATTAAACATTTGAACACTTATAAAAGTGTGCAGAAATAAAAGGGTTTGATTGATACTTAAGAGTAAGCATGACATAGACAAAATTAGCATGTGAATTCAGAATACTTTCTAATCTTAGGACTTATGTTGCCACGTCACATGGATTCTTATATTTCCACCTGATATACAGGCTTTAAAATGAGTGTTAATTACCTCTAGAACTGCTATTTAAACAGCAACTGGTATCATTAGAGAACTAATTCAAAGAATAACATGATAGAGACATAATGAAAGAATTCATTATTCTATAGATAAATATATAGATAATTTGGAATACCTGGATTTTTCCATAGTCCACAAAACATCTAAGTAATACCTAAGGGCTATCTACTTCATTCTTCATGTTTTTACTAAGAAGCATCTGTCTAATATAAGTATGCGGCAGCTGTAAAAGTTAAGACAGCTATTCAAGTAATAACGGATTTGACTTGCAAGCAACCAACCAGTAGATTGAAGTTAAAGACCTACAGTAAAATGAAGTGTTTTGCCTCTTAAGAAAATATTGGACCAAAACACACATTCACCAGAGACTCTCTAGCCATTTTATCCTCTTCCAGAGACACACAGGATCATAAACCTGACTTAACCCATTATTTAATATACTTAATTATACTTAGTTTATACATGTTTTCTACCAGCATATTGGCACAATGCATTCAAAAGGTAGAGAAAAATGCTGCTTAACAGACTTGAGTGATATATTTGTTCTCATTGTTACAGAGAATTGACTTCCACATTTTTTATCTCATGGTGTGATTCTTGGAGAAGCCCTGTGCAGGGCTAAGAGTTGGACTCGATGATCCTTGTGTGTCCCTGTGAGAACCCCAAGCTTGGTCTGGGGTCTTGTGTGGTGGTAAAGTCTCTCCTCCAACCCGTGCTTCCAATGAAAGACTCTGCAGCCTCTTGCTGTTTGGTCTCAAGGCAGTTTATTGTGAGTTATCTAAAAGATTGTCTTTGCGGGCTGCGGCTGCTTGGTCAGCGGCCCAGGCAGAGGCACACACACACCCTGACATCCTCTCTGTCTGCTGTCTTCTTCTTCTCTCTCCCACCCAGGGCTGCTGCTATCTTTTATATGATATATTATGTGTTATATGTTTACAGTTTTCCCCCAATACCTACTACCTATCTTACAAGGTGCTTTTCTAACTCTAAACCAATCTGTTAATGCCAACATCACCAAGAACATGGAGGCAAGGAAGAAGAAGGAGGAAGAACAGGATCAGCCCACTTTCCTCCATCTTAGAACTTCTGACCCCCATGTACAAAGTAAAAACCCTCCTGTACAGGTGCTAAAACCCCCCTATACAATACTAAAAAATTTTCCCCTCTACTTAGTAACTGCTTTTACTATACTATCTAACCCTTTGTGACTGCTTGTTCTACCTCCAAAGTTGGTAACTCATTCCACAGCTCAAACTCAAAATCACAGCTGTTTGCAGCTGCCTGCCAGGGTCTAAAATGCTCCTGATCAGGGCCTGGAACCTCTAAAAATGTCTGAGAGACATTTTGAGTTCCAACAGGTCCCTTCCAACTCAGCTTAATCTGTGATTCTGTAACCTACCCAGTAGTCATGTATTGAGGCTGAAATAATCCAGCATTAAAAATTTAAAGGTTACAGCTACATGAAAAAAACCCCAAACCACAACAAACCAAACCCAGTAAAGGTTGGATTCTGCAAACCCTTCTGTACACACTGATAACTTCCTATAGCAAACAGAAAATACAGCACAGCAAACACAAGGCACTGAGGTAAGTCCACCATAGAAGTGAGGAGCAGCTAAACTGACTGTTGCTCTAAGAAACTATCTGTCCCTTGGTTTGTAATTATACTTGATTAGAAGGACGAAATTACCACGCTAACTTGGTTACTTCAGGATTAAACAGACACTTGTTATTCACTGAACTCATGTGCCTTGCAAGATAGGGCTCCAGAAGGGAGTTAAATAGGACAAGCAAGTCCTATTTCAGCAATCACCATCCTTCACTTATTAATAACGAAGCAACTCGGCACAATGTTATTCTGTGAGACAGAAAACATTGTCAGAATGATTGAAGCACTTTGAAAAGGCTATCTGTTAAATCCTATTATCATTTTATGCACTTGCACTTCAAATATGAGATGTACAGATCCTGTTGGAGACTTCCCTGTAATATATTGCAACTATAATTTCACTGAAGTATGTAATTGTAGTGACTAAAGAATTAAAATCAACAGTATGCAGAGCAGTTTGGATGACAGATATGTTAATTACTCCACTAATAGAAGACAGCTACAGACACAGGCATGAGACATCTTCAGTGACAGGAAGAGAAAGTATTTCTGAACACATACAATAACCCTCTTTTTATTGAGTTTTCCTTAACATTAGGAGTTAAAAATTATTTATAGTAAACATAAATGCCTTTTAAATGTATTAAAACAAAACACACTATCACAAAACACTATCTTCTAGTAGACAGTAAGTGTTCCTGAGCTGGAAACATCTGTGCATATAGATTGCAAGATGATTCACAATGAACAGCTGGCATCTGCAAGGAAGAGAAATGTGGTGAGATGAGCTAAGGCTCAGATACACCATTTGAATCCTTTCTGCAGAAGAAATGGGATTTCTCAAAGAATGTTGTGCTCAAATCTGATCATGATCACCCACGGTCAAGAACAACAAAAGCAAACAGGATTGGACTGTTTTTATATCAAACCAAATGAAATAAAGATGGAGAGAAGATCCAACTGTTACCTATGCAGATCCACATGGAACACCAGGAGAGAAGGGTTGCTCAAGTAAAGCACAACATTGGCACAAGAATAAAGAGTTCAGAATTAAATTTAGGCTGCAGATAAAAAGAAAGTTTCTGTGAAAGGAACATTTGAGGGCAATTTCCAGGTAGAACAGCAGGGCAAAAAACCCAACTAATTCTAGGATGGAGCTTGCTCAGCTCATGGAAGGGGCAGTATCATACAGGGAATGCAACAGCAGCGGCCCTGATTCACCCAGGAGGCCTCTTCCAGTACTATGCTCCTAGAGAGCAAGCAGCACTTATTTGAGGATAATACTTATAGACCCCTAGCAATGGAAGAAATAGATACAAATGTTCATGTATATCACAAAACCACAGAGTGGTTGGAATTGGACATGAGCTCTGGATATCATCTAGTCCAACTGAGACAGCCCTAAGAGGTCCATGCCCACTTGCTTTCAAAAGTGTTTTTCTTTTTGTTTATGACTAAAACACTTTAATTATAATTTTGGCTTCACCTCCAAAACTGCACCCTGATATTTTAGAGAGAGATATAAACAATTATATCTGGTAACAACTTGAATTTAGCAAGGGAAATGTGTCCAAACCAGTCCTAGGAGATATGTACTCTGTCAGAACCAAAGTGAAGTTTTAATAAATGACTCTGTCCAGCTCTCTGAGCCATCTGGCAAAATATCTTCACATACTCTGTTTCCCACCCTCTTATGATTACTTGTGGAGCTCCTACAACGTGCTGAAAGATGTGACTGCTATTCTGTTGTCAAATCCATCAGGACATTTTTACCTAATAGAAACGGATGTGTCAATCTAGAAAAGACTCTCCTTCTTTCTCATTGCTTGTATTGTTACACAGAATACAAAAATCTAGACCTACATTATAAGCATTTTCTTTCAATAAGCCCCAATATGGGGAGGGCTAGGAAAGTGAATTCTTACTATTCATTTGCTTCTTAAGCAGTTACTTGTGAGTCTGAACTGATGGAAAGATGCTATGGATATGCCGAGTATCCCATATATAATCTGAAATGGTCATGGGAAATATTGTTCTTATCAATAGCAACTCAAACAAAAAAATTACGAATCTGGATATGGAATGATGCAACTGCCTACTAAGTCAGTAGAAGGCTCTAAATATGCAGAGACAGGTATGTTGCAATTGCTTTAGTCATTAATAAATGCAAACATGTAAGTCACTAATCACAAATTATTCTCTAGTTTGCACAGGTGGTAGGAAGAATTGCTTATAGATCGAAAGCATTCTAGTAAAGAAATATGTGCAGGCTGGATCAGTGATGACAGAAGAGACATGCAGTTATCTATAAAGACACAAACATTAAGAAAGAAAGTGAATTAAGCTGATACAAATGGTAAAAAATAAGAGTAATGTGATGGAAATCATTAAAGAAAAGTATGAGAGGAACATCAGGGGAAAAACACTATCAAAAATATCTAATATTCTATTAGAACACTGATCACATTTTCCCACAACATGTAGTAGAAAATGTGCTGGAGGGAGCACAACTATGAATATGGTGCTTGTGCTTATGAAAACCACTTCTGATTCTCTGTACTTTTGCCATTCTTTCTCAGTATGGGAAACACCCCAATCAAACATACATAGCCCCTATGTTACAATGGGAAAACCACAGAAATCTTTATTTTGCAAAACCACAACTAAAACTAACACTATTCAGATATGGAAAGAGTTACAACTGCTGATTTTAAACATTTCATATGCCACTCTTGATGACAAGCATATTGATGACCAAGCATCAGCCACTTTTAACTTAACAGAGTTCAATCCTAAATGCCTGTAGAGGGGAAGAAATAATTTCTGTTTAAGAAAATTCAAGAGAGCAAGACTAGTATAATTACTTTAGACTTATTGTGCTTTTGCATAAATAGAAAAAACAAAAAATGCCACAGAATCATATGGCAAAAAAAAGAAACCAGATGGTATGAACAGACACAAAGTGTTGCTGAAACCTAGCTGAAGTGACAAGTGATTTTGATATGGAGTGAAGAAATTATTTACCTTAAAAGAAACTGGAAAAGATGTGATAGGAACAAAGACAAACTATTCTTTCAATATTACTGTTACACAAACTGGAGGTCTTGATTTGTGTCTCTTGTAGAAGGTAGATTAGGTCTTGGTATAACCATAAATGAAAGGAAGTTTCTCTTATTATACCTCTTTCAAAAAAACAAAAGGGTTATAAAATACTGTGTATGAAGGAATGTCCACTTCCATGTTGCCACTTTCTACATATTTAACTCTGAAGAAAACTCTTCATTGCAATTAGAACACTTCAAAATGTCAAATATAAACTTGGCAAGTAATGAAACTATCTACAAAACCCCTGGAGACTACAGCTAATGTAACTGAAAGCTGCATGCAATTGCTCCATCAAACTACAACTATCTACAAAAGGATTGTACATTAATAGAATTTACATGCAAAATCTGTACGGACATTAAGAAATTGGACAGAAGGGGGCAGAGAAAAGACAGTAGCACTGAACTGGCTACATTTTAGAAAAGTCACTTCTCTGTGTTTACTGTTAGCATTTCACTAAGTTATAAGTATTCCAAGAAAGAGAAGTCTCTGTTTCTAAAGTTGTCTTCAGTTGCAAGAGGTAGCTGGGGGTGTTTATTCTATTGCCATCTATTAGAACCAGGTCAGGCAGTTATCTGCTGTTAATGGCCACCTGTTAAAACCAGTGGGGCAGTTTTCTTTATCTCTTCCATAACTAATGCTCCCTCTGGAAAATACCTCCTTTTAATGGGCCACTGAGTGTCACAGCATGACTGATAAAATTACATCATTCCATTGTGAGATGCTCCGCCCAGGGGAAGAAGCCAAGCCCTTAATTTCAAAATTGTAATAATTTGGAGAGAAGGGGTTTACATTTTCCATTTCAAGGGATGTGCCTGCCTTCCTTAGCAGACACCTGTCTTTTCAAACCAAGACAGAAGTGTTTCTTCTAAGGCCTGCATTTTGATAGAAAGCTAATTTCAAGCTGGATTCTGCCTGAGCAAGCTATTACCAAACAGGAAAGTGTCAAAGCATAGAGCAGAACAAGATATTTTGTATTTAAACCTAATTTCCTTTCCATGTGTCCTTTGCTCTAAAATATTGTCTCTAGTAAACCCTGCATTTAGGACTCTGGCATGCAAACATGGTCTTCTTCTCTGCAATAGGAGGTATGTGAGAGAAGGTTCTGTATAAGGTGTTCATCCTGCAAACCAGGCGGCTTTTAGTCTCACTGGAAAACACTGTACTTTAAAAAAATGAAAGCAAGGACAGGTTTAGAGATGAACCATTGATTCACTAAAATTAAACACAGAGGCACCCATTCTTTCTAAACCTGACTTTAAATTGCCAGAAAAGTCTGAGTTTTCACACAGTGCCCAGGTTATCACATAATATGTATTAAAGCAACAGGCTACCCAGGGAAATTAATAAATCAGTTGCTCCAAACATCACTACAAGCAGACCAACTCCCCCAGCCATAACTATTTCTGTTGTAAATAACATGGATATGTCTTAAATCAGAGCCAAAAATATTTTCAAAATTCAACAGTATTTAGGTCATCCTCACTCTATTGACAGACACTGAACTCTGAAACCATAATGATGTAGCTCAGCAACAGTGCATGTTGTTTCACTAATGAGAACCTTTTTCCATGAATAATGAGTATGGACATCAGCTCTGTTGCCAGGTACATAATATAAACACAATTTAACACATGGCTTTTGGTAAAGCAGTGCATCTGCTTGCAGAGGCTGAGGTTTCACATGATGTGGTCCAACATTTCAGCCCAGGGTGGGAGCAGACTGCTCTAGGAAATAATTTGTTCATATGTTATCAAAATACAATAAATCAGGTTTGCTCTTAGTCAAAAAAAAAAAAAAAAAAAAAAAAAAAAAAAAAAACAAAAAAAAAAAAAAAAAAAAAAAAAAAAAAGCAGCGGAGTGGGACCAAAAGAAACTGCAGATAGGAAAGTATAAACGAGTTCAGTGTTTTATACTACAATAAATCTTACAACACATGAAGCTGATGAGTTCTAAAATGAGCTGAGATTCCCTGAGACAGGCCTTCTGAGACTCATGAACTGTAAGGGTTATAGTGGTTAAGCCTGTGTTTGCTGAGTCCTTTTGCAAACCTAGTGCATACACAGACCATACCAAAGTGTGAGCTGAAACCTCCTGTGCTCAAACAGCCAAACTAAGAGCTTTACCTTTTAAAGTCTCATTTGTTCTATCATACGCTTTTGAGAAAATGAAACACACTTTCAATTTCTATCACCTTCCATGACACAAAGTGCTACCATGGTATTGTACAAAGTCAGGGATCAGTGCTTTTTAGTATGCCAAAATAGAGCTCGCACTGGAGTTTAGTCTTGAGATTTGAGAATATAGGCTTAATACTCTGTTTTGTCACAGTTCTGCTATTTCCCAGGACTATTACCTCATAACTACATTGAAGACTAGAGGGTGCCAACATACTGTGTTTTCTGGGGAATAAAAACCAGCATGTCTACTTATTTGCATCTTAGCATGGCAAAATAAAGAACATAGGAATATCTCCCAGTGTCATAGGAATTACTGAAATACAAGAAGATATTAGAAAGACTCTGATGTTACCACTTTAGCTGCCAGTTTCTTCAATCAGGTTAAGTACAACCAAGATCTCTTTCAGAGTCATTACTGCTACTGAATGTCAGTATTCAAGGGCCTGGGTGACATTTTGATCTCTGCTTAGAATTATTTGACTCCAAAAAGAGTAGAAAACATTCCAGACTAGATTGGAAGGAGTGATTATCACTAATGTAGCTTGTAATGACCTGCTTATTTATGTTTTTTTAAAATAGCTTTCAAGTTTAAAGACCTAGAGCTCCAGCAGCTGTGATTTGAACATGAAAAGAGTCACAGTGCTGCATAAACCAATGTTTACTGAAAAACATAATAAGATAATACAAAACGTTCACCTAGTCTTCTGAGTTTTCCAAGGTTTCCCAATAAGAAATAAAGTCTGCTACTTAATAGACTGCTATGCAGTTAAATCAATGTTCTCTTCCATGCTACTAAGTCAACAATCACAGCTAAGTACATGGGGGAACTGATAATCTTTTTTCAGAAAAAGTTTGAATAGCATGCAATAAAAATTCTGCAGAACCTAAACAGTCATTCTTTAAGCATCAACAGAAAACAAAAAAAGGACAGGGGAGCTGCTAGTGAGTGCCATCAATGATTTCAGCACAGGTTGGCAGAAAAAAATGCACAGTATTTAATCTTTGAATAAAGAATTGTGTAAGGGCATGTACAAAGCTCATGCCTATCAATTTAGTTGCAGTGTTTCCTAAATATTAGGAGTTTGACCTAAATATATTCCTTCTGTGTGTATCACCTAGAGAAAATACAAATACATATTTGAACTTACCATCATACTTTGCTAAGACTGCCTGGACATCTGCATATGCTTGCAGTTCCAACAAAGCCTCTAGCAGGTTTTCGTGGATGTTGAACATGCTGAGCAGGGGAAACTCCTTCATCAACTACAATCAATAACATATGAAAGGGTTAGATTATTAAAATGGAGAAGGGTTTCTTGTTCAAAATGCATTGAAATAGACAACATCAAGTTAAAATTCCTCAGTTCCCCTTGCTCTTAGCTCTTTCCCAAAGCTCACTATTATCTCATAAATTTCTAAGCTCATAATGGATACATGGTCAGGTTCTTGTCAAGACATGCTTGTATAGGATGCAATTAGTCAAATCCAACAACCCAGCTATACTCTCTCCTTCTCCCAGCATAACTCTCCTTCAAAGTGAAAAGGAATTATTGTTCTGGGGAAGATTCTTTACCAGTGTACCGCCAGTGTATCAGTGGTACATAATCCAGAACCTCTCTGTTAAAACCATTAAATATATTGAAATACCACAATAATCAAATTAGAGATGTTACGTATCTACTTAAATAGAGAAGCTTACATATATGCAACCGTATTATCAAGTATGTGATACCAAGATTTGTAATTGTTAGTACTTAAGAACACAATTGCAACTGTGGCCGACATAAAAAAAAAAGAGAAAGAGAAGGAGGCAAAAGAAAAGAAAAAGACAGCAACAATAGGAAAGGTAAAACTTATGCAAATCAAACACCATAACTAAGGAATACATCTTGTATGACAAACTGGATGAAATATGGAGTTAAAATAATCTAATCTTTTCACATGTAAGTGCCTTTACTTTATGAACTAAGCCATTGGAAGATACCAGGAATTTGTTTCTAGACATCCTCAGTTTCAGTACCTGAGTAGATTCAAATGGCTAAACATGATACTCAATTGCATCTCATTTTTTAAGTCACACCTATAAGAACCATACCTGTCTTTTACTGCAGAATCGATTAAACAGTATTTTTTATTGTCAGAGTGATTCTCTAAAGAACTGAAGTGTTGAAAGATCCTTGGTTCCTTGTGTCCCCTTTATGGTTGTTTAACTGCTTTCATGATGTAGATTCAGCACAAAAAGGTGCCTGACAGTAAAAAACTGGGGTAACTGATATTACCACTGCTTCTCAAGAACTTGCAGGGAAACACTAAAATTTACAATCTCTCTGATAGGGTTTATGAGAACAAAAGTACTGTAACATGTCAAGTAAAGAATATGATTCAAGGTCAGCCTTGCTCTATTTGGAAATAGTAAGCCAGATCTGAAAATTCTGACACTTACTAAACCTTTCAAGATGTAAACACCAAAACTGATGAGAACCAGCAAATCTTAATCTCACAAACAGATAAGATAAAAGTAGGAAGGACTGAAATGAGAGATGGATATTCACCAAGAACTTAAAAAAATGAGAAAAAGGCAATGCACTGGAGCTTCTTCACTCTGCTAAGAAAGACACATTAACAGGTAAACAGAAAAGCAAAGCACAGAAAATTTCTTTCTTGTGAAATGGTCTGGTATAAGCTAATGGGAGAACTATTCTGCCCTTAAGACTCTTAAATTTGTCTGTCTCGAATAGCATTGACTTTGCTGCAGTTTAAGGATTATTAGAAGATGAAAGATAAGAATAGCAGTGTTTTGTTTAACAAATTGTATAAATTTCTGGTGAGAATCAGGATCACTGAGAGAGCAGCTGAAAGAGGTCACTGAACTTTTTATGTTAATGGCATGGGGATGGCCATAAACTGCTGGTTTTATTGATAGGAGCTGAACCTGTGAAAAAGAGCACAAACAAAACTGCATAGGTTGAAAGCTTTTCTCCCCCATTAAAAAAAAAAAAAAGGACCACAGATCTTGAGATCTTGATGCTCATGCAGGTTAAGTGAAAGGGTTTGAGAATAAAATAACAAGTTTAAGTAATTGTTCATGAAGAGAAGTAAGTGCAGGTAAAAATTCACATAGTTGGTTTCATTAGTTAAAGATCCATCATTAAGTCTACTCCTCTTCATTCTCATTATTAGATTTTTAAGAGAGGAAGCTACTATTTGGCAGGAAAGAGCATGACAGAATCTGGCTCTACATAAATGTGATTTAAAGTTCAAAATGAACATCCTGCAAAGAAACCTCTCTAAGGGATTAAGAAAGATTATCCCAACTCATTGAGAATGAATAAAGGCTGGCAAAGTAACATTCCCTCCATCAGTGAAGAGAAGGGAAGAGCTGCTAGTTATAAATGTACTCTGGCCAGTAAAAGCTCTTACTCTGGTTCTCCGCCTCTCACTGACATCACTCACTGATTAATTTTTTTGCTATTTTAATTAGGTTCTGTCAGAGTGATAATGCCTTTCTCAGACAGCAGAGGAATAAAGGTCACTGTCTGAACTGCCAGGCCTCCAAACTGAAAAGTGTTAATAAAGGTTTCATCTGGGAAAGGTCAAGCATGAAGAAGTCCAACCCAGTAATACTGAACTCTGTTAATACTGAAGCCTCAAAAATAAAACACCTGTAAGTTACCACTCAGCTATTTGAACACTGACTGTGCATAAATGACAGCATGTTTGCTATTAAAAAAAAAAAAAAAGAAAAAGAAGACACGAACTCATTTTTCTGTCATATTTGGATGTACAGTTTCTAGTTCTCACTGCAAATAATTTCCAATCACAGTAAAAATTTATTTACTGAGAAACTTGCCAGAAAGTAAAGCCACTTTGATGGAAGAGTATTATGACAGGTCATCTTTCAGGTCTCATAGTGAAAACAAACACTGGGAAAGAAAAAACTGCCACACAGGTCTGGTGACTGGTCAGGGAAGGCCACATACTGGGTCATGCTGAGGAGCAGCGAGCTTGCTCTGCTCCATAGCAGACGGAGGGGGAGCTGGTTCATGCTCCACAGAGAGATGTAAAGATGGGCACATACATTCCCAAACACAAGATGAAAAACACACCCTTGAGTTCCCCAGATCCATACATCAATGAGCTCTAATTGGTCTCCAGCTTCAGAGGCATGGACATCCCTTTGCACCCAAAGATTTATTTTCTGCAGAGTTACAGACCAGTATTTACCAAATCATTTGGCTTATACATTTAAATTATTTTTGCTTCTTCACTGTAACCTGAGAAATAATTTTATTTGAGTGGCAGGCACTGCACTTGAAGACAAGATGAAGGATCTGCTATAATCTTTCTCCACACCTTCAGACCTCAAGAGACAGGCATCAAATTCAGCACTCAGGATGTCCTGAGCCACAGAGCCACTACAGCATTTCACATATGCACTACTTAGGACTAGGAATGCCATTGTAAAATTCAAGTTAGTTGCTTTCTTGGCTGGCATAAAAGAGAAGTGTTCCACTGAGCTAAACTAATTTTTACACATGTGAAAACAGACACCACATGGCTATAAATATATTACCTCCTTAAAACATGAGGATATTCAAACAGCTGTTGAACATGTCATGCCAAATCTATGTTTATAAGGATTTTACCTGGAACTTCTATTGGTCAAAATACTTTCTGGCAATCAAAGTTGGACCTGGAGCTGGGTTAGTACATATTCTGTTCCAATTGCTCTGTGTGTTTAGAGGAAAATAGGTACAGGTGTAAAAAGTGGAGCTGCTTTTCTTTGAAAGAGACATTAGGTACACTGCAAATATACAGAAAAGGTAGCTTTTGCAGGTAATTCAGTTTAAATTTTTTAGATAAATCATATTTTGGCTATATAAGTTTGCAGAAAAATTCTGGAAGTCTGACACAATGTGAACATATCGGAACACTAGTCCCAGAGGCACCCTATTCCCAGACTCACTTCAATTCACATTACAGGGTGTAGGTGCAATGATTTTGTGATAGATATGAAAATATGATGATCGGAAAAAATGCTTTATGGCACAAAGAAATCCACATCTGATTTCTTGGATGAGGTACAAGTTTCATCTCCCAAAGGACATTTATTAAAGAAAATTTCCTGACAGTATTTCAATTATTGGCATTTTCATTTAGATCTAATTTTTAAAACATTTTCAAGAAATATAGCTTTAATGTCTGCATGCATTATTCTCCCTGTGACAACATTAACATCATGAATCAATTCACCAAGAAACATTACTTGTGTAGAAACCCACTATAACCTCCAGCTTATGCCTACAACTAGACCTCAGTTCTCAAGGGAATACAAAGGTGGACAAATGAATAATGTTATATACAACCTGCTGTTGACACATTTATTCTCCATTTCATTATGATTGTATGCATGGTCACAAATTTAAGGGGCAGGGCATGCAATTGCTGCTTGTATTCCTGTCTGCTCCACAAACAAACAGTAACATTAGTCAGATCAATGTATTCAACTGAATGCATTTATAAAAAGGAAATGTGAATTTATCTCAAAACAAAGAAACAAGAAGAAAACATGGGAAATTCAATGCAAACAGTGAAACTGTTAAAACCTTAATTAATAGTGCATATGTTTCTGCAGTGGGTATCTGAAATGGAAAACTCTGTCTCCTAAAAAAAAAATTACTGAGGCTGCCATCTTTCAGGTGCAGCTGTCCACCAAAACTGAAGGACCAAGCTGGATATATTGTTACTTGGGTATATCCAAGTATGGATAGCACTGGCATTTTCACAACTGCTTTGTATAAACTGCTTTCTGGTATATGACCTATAATCTGCTAATTGAATAAGGCAGGAAAGGTAAATCTCCAAGCCATCTCCGAGTAGAAAAACAGAAGTTTCCATTTCTCCGAGCTTCATTGTCTGCAGATATCTGAGCTCTGACTGAAGCTCACCCTGGGCTTGAGGCATTGGCAACATGTCACTCCATGTTGACTTCCTGATGTCTAATTAGATACACTAATTCTTGAGCTGTTCTCCTGGCCAGCTCACCTGGCAAGGACAGAAGAGCAGAAACACTGTCAGAAGACTGAAGTTAGCACACAAAAAGCCTCTCTCAACAACATCAGATGCTTAAAAACGAGTCTAACTCCTGGTCCTAAAAGACCAACTCATTCCACCATCATCTCTTTATGAATGGGATTCATGTGATAAAAACATGTCATACCTCTTTGAGTTGGAAAAGTATCTAAAATACACTGGACCTACCT